TTTTTTTTTCTTGTAATAAATATTTACATATACACTGAAAATACTGAAATGTTTGCAAAAAATCCATACCATTGCAAAAAACAACGCTCCATTAGTCGCTTCAACTTTTCGATCAACATTTGCTGTTGTAGTATCGACGAGTACTTGGATGTGCCCGTCTTTGCACTATAAAAGGACAGGTTAACAATATAAGCAAAATGGGGGGCCACATAAATAAGCACCGAAAGAGGGATCAACGCTGTGTTTCCTAAACTCTGCTATTAAAGCAGCGCCGAAGTGTGCTTGTGGCGGCAAGCGCGATTTTACGAATCGTGCCTTTGTACGCTGCCGCATGCACTTAACAATCATTTATAATGCGCGACGAGTTGGGGACCGAGTTCTCCGTGTCTGAGGTACTAGGCTTACTGAAAGAACTCGGAACAAGCAAGACATCCGAACCGCACCTGATCCACAATGAGTCCTTGAAGAGTGTATTCGACATTTACCCTCGGTGGACAAGCCTTTTCATTGGTTGCTTACGACATGTGCGTCTATCGACACCTGCGGTGAAGCCCTGTTGAGCATTATACCTCAAGAGAAAACGGTAATCTTCCCGACCTACTTTCATGGAAAACGACTGCAAATAAAAGCTGCTGCTATAAGCATCCGATTCATCTCAACACACGGATCTCATTACACATCGACTGATAAGGTTCGTGTAGGCTTGTTCACGTATTCCGATTCAACAGTATGCATTCAGTATAGGACATTTCACCCTCACAGTATATAACATAATGCATCAGGGCGTACATTGGGTCCAGGCACAGACCAAAACAGGCATTCTTTGCAGTGTTCATGAATTTAAAGTCGACGTTTGATATGGCTCCCAGAAATAAGATTTTTCTAAAGATAGCAGAATGCGGAGTTACATAGGATATGCTGCATCTAGTTATGGCAATACCATAAAAGAACTCAAGCGACCCAGCCGAAGGGGTTCAATGAATTAACTGGCGTTGCACCTTTACTGAACTTGAGCCTTTTGCTGTTCCGTGTCCTGATAAATGACCTGGCACAGGTGCAAAAGTTGCTGTACACCGACAATCTCGTCAGCTTTAGAAGGATTCGGTTTTAAGATCAGCAAGTTCTCACCAGGCCGTCGTGTTACGTGGATGGGCTATTGATCAACTTGAACAAGATAGAAGCTACGGAGGTGCGCCGTGGAAGAAGCTGCGTTGCTTTCGACGCGCTTTACATGGATAGAGCGATCTTGAAGTGTATAAATGGCTTCATGCATCTGGGAATGATCGTGCCCATGGACACCTGAATCGTCGAAGAGCACACTACAGGCAGAGTCTGGCAAGCGATGATTGCGGGTGCGGGAGTAAGTACGTCTTTTAAATTTCCCTTGCGCTCGGCGCTGGCCTTGTCCAAAGTAAAGATTGAAGATAAATTGTCTAACGTAACCTATCGTCGAAAGAGCTTAAAAGGTTGGACCGAGTCAAAACATCAGACGTGTACATTCTATGCCACACACTGTTTTCTATGGAAGATGTGAGACGCAAATTCAAGTTTACTATCGTTGCCCATTTGAAGTTCACCAACGCGTAGGAGAAAAAAAATGGTGGGGGTTGATCCTGACATTTGTAATATGGGACCTGTGACCAATGAAGCCTGGAAAAGACCGAATTTCTATTCGGTACAGACGCGTAGTGATGTGTTTCATAATACATAGGCTTGCACACATCGTATATGAACAGTGGGTTTTCTTTTATTTAGCAGGATTGCGTGCATATTCACAAAGTGACGTGCCACATGCTTCAGATCTTATGTGGCACCGTGCGCCGCTGTGCCATAGTTGAGCAATCTTTCCGTTAAGTCAGACGATCTGAATGTTTTACATTATTCGGTTTACACCATAAGTTTACATAATATAATCGCATTTTTGTAAGTACTATGAAGCTGCTCAATATCTGCGCGGCCGGACTAAAGCACCACCTACGGGCTTCGCCTCGAGCCTGTTCTACTATTAAACACATTTTATTTTGACCTGTGTAGATGTAAAAGGCTAATCTTATATCGATAACAGAAGGGACGTCGAATAATAGCTGGCTATCCCCGCATTTAGTACAATATAGCTGGACACAGCGTTTCATGGTTATCAAGAATATGTTGAGTAGATTTATCGATGCAACACAAATGGAGTATACTATCCACGCAACACAGTTCTGACGTTATGTCAGCGAGCCCGATACTGTTAACTGTCTTGTAAACACTGGCGCGGCGTCGTTTTCAGATATGGTAGCTGCCCTCTACTTACGATTAACCTAATTAACATTATGCTCCATTAAAGAAGCAATTTTTTTTCTCTGCGGAAATAAATCTGGTTCCATTCTCCGCGCCGACGTTTTTAAGGTTAATGCTAGCTACTCACAAAAAATCAACCCAGACAGACTCCTACATTAAGGGATCATTTTAGCTCCGACAGACAAACAAACGTGAGACTTAGAAGCATACCATATATCGATATAGGCCTGTTTTATGTTACTTGTATAACCACTAATGATATTTATAAAAGAGGTAACATCAAATATTGTGTATATGATGTAGTTGTTTGATATCTTCTTTTCGAAAAGCCTTTGCTCATGGTATATTTCTTGTATAGTTATTCAGTTCATTTTTTTAGTTCATTTAATAATTTTTCATCGTATAATTTAATTTTTAGGAGAAATTTACCGTTCCCTTTTTGAGGAGGTATGCCTTACCATAACAGCAAATTTTGACATGACCGACATCTCCCGGGACGTTTTTTCGGATACGTTTGCTCTACGCTGTCAAAGGCTTCAAATATTAGCACGACGTCGATCATTTGCGTTTTCTACCATCTGATCGCTTTCGTAAAAGAGGCAATAAATTTTTTGGCGGAATGAAATCAGCGGAAGACCGCTCTAGACCGATTATTTGCTTCTTCAGATGTTCGGCGGCTGATCGTTCTCGACCATTGTCTTTAACCATGATCATTTTGGTATGATGTGGCTAGTTATTAGGGTACGACCTTAATGGACGCAAAATCTAATAGCGTCTTCCACGATACAGCTTGAACGCAAATAACACCATAACACATTCTAAACGAGCGAACGATGCTGGTGGCTGTAAACGCGGGCGCAGTGTTTCCTTCAAATATGGAAAATGACAATGAATCCTGCTGTTGGTTAATGATCAACCAGATTAACATTACATTCTACTGGAAAAAAACTCTAGCGATTCACAAAAATGTCGCCTAATCGTTTTGAGTCCCCAAAACTTTTCGTAGGATCGATAGACTAAACGGATTGGCGGGCTTCAACCCCGCGCCTGTTTTGCGTCAATTGATTTAACTCAACTAATTTGCTGACGTCACCAACAGTTGTCCTGGTGTCCTTAACCGTTCTTCTTTGGCAGTTACCTTATTAAGCTCTCTAATATGAACTGATTTAGTTCGTCTTATATCTAGCCTAGAAATTCGTTCAAGAAATCGCCTTTCAATCGATTTTTATATGGGTAAATTCCAATCGAATTAAATTCCGCTTAAAAGACCATACCAAGTTTGCCATATAAGGGAAACTATTTTTTAACCCTTTTGACTCCGAAATATTCATTTCGAGTGTATATATATATATATATATATATATATATATATATATATATATATATATAATATTTGACTGCCATTTTGTCAGAAGGGAACAATTTTAAAGTAACCTCACCTTACCAAATCTTACCAAAATGTCGTCTCCATCAGTACCTAAAATATTTGCATAGACACGTATTCCGATTGGCTTCGAAGAAACAACAAAAAAAAGCGATTTTAAAACGGATTTTATAGTCGCTAATTCCCTGATCGATCTCAAGGTCTACATTTAACTTTGTACTAATTGGCAATATTAGTCAGAACAAGTCCTACGAACCGTTCTACTTCAAAGATTAAAATGCTGACCGTTATGTGTTCGACAATAAATTATTGGTATATTAAGATCTTTTAAAGACGCTAGCGGCGTTAGTTGATCTATCAGTCACCTATTTCCGGTCATCAGTTTCTTGCTAATTCGTTTTCTGAGCTTCTTTCGAGTTTGAAGTGACTTCCCGTGCGTATCAAATCGCCCAAATCAGAACAGATGTTTTTAGTTGTATTGTCTTCGTAAAACTCCCACGTAAGACGCACATATTTGTTTTTCAGTTTCAAACGTAACAACTAGAAGTAGTTATGGCACTTGTAATATGCCATCCAACAATAGTAACCACCTTTAGTGACTTAAACCCCACAATGGGGGCAGTCCTATGCATCGCTCTAGAAAAAGTTAGCCGTTCTAGCACCCTCTGCTTGTACGGTCATCCATTTTTTCATCGTCTAACAGTCAGCTGGCGCCGCATGATAATCCTCTTCTTAAACAGAGCCGAATCGAGATGGATTTTTTTCCAGGACGTACATGGAGCACGTGCGCTTGGCTTTGATGACAACAGGACACTTCAGGTCCAGTCATCATCATCACCGATGATGTTGGATTTAGAGATTGGAATGGAATTTCAGTTTGCAATCTGTAATTGGTTCTTTGCTTTAAGCCACGATTGTTTGCAACATAAACGCAGCGAGCAAACATAAACTACAATCACGGGCAATACAAGGAATATTTGTCGCTCGCTCTTTGTAAATCCCGACGTGAAGGTGCCCCAGGCACAATTGATGCGTGATATGTATTTATACTACAATAATTAAAAGTCAAATTCTCGCGAACTTTTTGCATGTTTTTCTTCAGGTATGTCTGTTTTTTTTTAACCTAATTAATAGCGCCTTCTGCGTCCTAGATGAATGCTAGAACAGTATACGAGCTTAGCCTGAATTCGATTCGATCGCTTCGGCTTTTACGTCTAAATCACCCTTGTTCTCGGAATCATTTTTAAACAAAAAGAAATGAGAAATATATGTACGTTCAAAAGCCATTTATTTGAAATGCAGCGCTTCATACTTCTACGAAAATAAAACAAAGTATTAGAGCTGAACAATACTTATGGGGATACCTTATATGACGCCTGTGTTAGATCAACTGTAGTAATGTTTTCTATTTTTCTCTTAGTTAACCATTTGAACTTTATTGGCTAGACAATCAATAGATCTCCAGACACTAATGTCAAAGACTGTGAATTTTTTGGTCGTGACTGACACGTTACGTGACAGTCTTGGCACTTGAATTGAAACATTATACATCCCTCACTGCAATATCATCTGTAGTTTAGTAATGTAATTGAAAACATGTATGAACCCAAATGGCAAGGCCGTCGTTCCACTGTTCACATCATATATTAATCTACTGAGCCTTACAATAGGCGCAGTATTTTTGCTTGTCAATGAATCGTGTGTAGACTTGAGACACTATATCACGCTTTTCTTTCCGATAATTATACAAAAGTTGGTTGGAAATCAATGACTGTGACTATGACCGATCCATTTGCTTTGCGTTAATCGTGCTGGCATTTGTAATATTCTTAGAAATACACACAAGCGAGCGCATAATTCCGAACTTTTTCTGCTATACATTTGAAGACAGTAATTGCACTGCACGAAAGAAATTCTTTCTCTATTCAAGACTATACTGATTGTCCTCAAAGCAATGTAGCTTAAAAGCTAGTTAAGAACTTATGACAATTTGGTCTACTCAGATTACTCGTTTTCAATTAATATTATTATACCAACGGGCAAATGTAGCAGAAAAGGGTTTCTAGGTACCATGTTCTTGATTGAATGTATGTATGAATTGTATTTACGCGTTTCAAAAAGTGAATTATGCACAATGAAGCTGGCATTGTTTGCTTTTAACAAGTGCGCCATTCCTTAAAGATATATCTGGCTACATATTGGCCTTCCATTACCTGTGAGCACATTGAAGATGCTGGCTTCGTCAATCAAGAGCATCCATGGATGGAGGACCAGATTGAATGGCTTGACGACGTGGAACCGGAACGTGGTAATGCTGTAAAGCGTAAAACTGTATCTACCACGGTTTACAAGCTAAATGTGATTTTTAAAATCTAATGCGCATAAGTATGCGGCACCAAAAGTTATAGCTTTAGGCACAAAAAATATTGCCTCGAAATTTGACCTATTAGCTCTGTTCGACTTTATTGTCGCCAACGGTCGATCAGGCGATTACAGGTCGTTCGATGCAGTAATTAGAATACAATTCTATGATAATATTATATATTTACCAGAAACTAAAGATCCCTTCACTGTTGTCTTCTGTACATACTAGAGAAATCATAAGATGTATTTGAGATTTATGAGGTAGTTTTCTGCGTAAATAAGGCACCTAGAAATCACAAAACGGTATATCCATGTATGCTTCATAATGTTCTGTCTTTTTTTGTTGTCTTTAATGGTTCAATCAATATACCAGTGTTTGAGTAAACATATTTGCTGAATTACGCAACAGATGCCCATAATAATACACTAGCCCGTTTATAAATGCACTTTATTATTACGTTTACATGGTTGCATCTTCCTAATGAAGAACTAATTTGAACCTATTAGCGCGCTGTATATAACTACCTACTGGAGATGTGTACAAAGACACTCTCGATGATTTATGATTAGTGATAAATGAGCCCACCCATGTTTATGCTCCTATCGAATATAGGATCGTAAATAATCTGTGAAAGCCTAGTAAGAATATACATCTTAAATATCCTCATGTATTGGACTCTCGTTCAATAGAGGAATATTTGTAGGTGGATTACTATGATCGTCATTGCTCTGCGGGTGAAGAGAGGAAGGCGAAGCTTGAGTGCTACTTAGCTCTCCTCCCGCTCCCATCGAGTTGTCTCCTATACAGTTTACGTCGGCTAGGACTTCAGCCAATGGCTGAGACGCACCCGAAACTTGTTTATCCTGGCTGGAACTAGCGTCTCCCAGCGATGCCTTGTCACGCTTTTTATGCTTTTTATCCTTTTTCTTTTTCTTTTTCTTGTGCTTCGATGACGCACTGCCCGAAGAAGGAACGCCGTCGATTGCAAGCGGAGTACCAAACGGTACGGAACCACCTATCATTGTGGCATCTACCGGAACATCAGATATGGTTTCTGTGGTTGATACTGCAGCCTCTGCTGCTGACCCTATTATATTTCCTGCTGTGGCTAGTGCTACAGAGCTAGATCCGATCGAGGACTGGCCACAGCCGCTGCCAACGCCGCCGCCATTGTCGGATACAGTGTTGGACATTGGTGAGTCGGATCGATGGGGAAACATGGACGCGTCAAAGCCAAGAGGCTGCTTGTCTTGTTGCCCGTCACTTGCTGCAACGCTGATCGGAGGCAGCGAAAATGAATCCGACGAAGTGTGGTCAATCTTAATCCGCTTATGGTCGCCATGTATCGATGGCACGAAGCTATCGACATTAAGGTGATCATCGTGCTCGTTGTCTGCTTGGTTATCAGCAGCGGCAGCCCAACGATCGAAATGTATTGGTGGGCTACTTTGCCCGACCTCGTCCTGACAGGCGATCGTCGAGGCGTTCAATTGGGCTCTCTTTTCACGCAGATTAAATACGACGCCGAGCTCGGGCATCGGGAGGCATTGAGGACGACCTCGCCCGTACAAGACATGGTAGAGGTCGACAAGCGCACAACGAAGCTTTGAATCATGCGAGAACTTGCTGTTCATCATCGTCCACAGGCGTTCAACGAGCTGATCGCTATTAAACGCTGAACTGTGCGTGCCAGATTCGCGCTTTGAAAAAGGCGGATTGGACGTTAATGCACGCAAGACGTGCAGTCTAACCCTGGGAAGCGGATCGTTTTCTACCACATCCAAAAGGTAGTTAAGATCTTCGACATTTCCATCTGTAGACGTATAGTCAACGAGCATCTCAAGTGCTGCCATACGAACGTCTTCGAATTGGTGCACACTCGCATAATCTTGAAATAATCCAGCCGAATTAGGAATGTGACCCATTTTTTGTAGTCGACGAATTGCAAATAGGCAACCGATTGTGCAGACTAATTTATAACCAGGCAGAAGTTTCTCGAGATTCAAGCAACGCGTTACCTCTTCTAGAATGCTTTTCGTTTCCTCCGACATACTCTCAACCATCACCTGCAATCGAAAAATCAACGCACTAATTATCCATTTACATGGCATGAATAAAAGATTTTTAACAACATTCGAATATCTGTACCGATATAAATAATCGAACTAAGCGGTCTAGATTCGACCCTGTCAATTAAATGATGATTTTCGTTTTGTCATACAAATTAGTTAGATGCAAATGGCCCTGTTGAAGCTTACCCATCCATACCTTACTGCTGCTTTGGTTGAGAACAACCGAAACTACAGGCGTCACGGTTTCGGCGAGCGCATCAATCAGCGCTCGTCGATAATAGCAGTCCGAATAGCGATTCTTCGAGTTTTCGTTGTATTTGAACAAATCCAACAGGAAGGCCAACACCTGCATACACACACAGCAATAAAAAATCCGATACAAAAACAAGTAATAATTCAGTAATAAAATGATCACCGAAAAATGTGTACACTTATTATGTGCCACTTACTTGTGTTTACCGTACGAATTTGTTTTACTGCACATTCGGGAGAATTTTGGCAAAATTCATTTCCAGCGAGATGCAGCACTTGCCCACTAACATCCTGATATAACATCCAACCACCCTTTTGAGTGAAAATCATTCAAACAGATGGGTTGGATGAAGCGACTCTATAGTATATCCCTGCACATTTCCCAGACCTGACGCCAACAAACGGAAATCAATTTTTGTGGGAATACTTTAAAGATAAAGTCTATGGCGGGAAACTGACGACACTGGAGTGTTTCAAATGCGCAACTGAGCAAGAGTGTCCCAAATAAAATAGTTGTTGCAGTTTATTAGTCGATAGCTCACCGTTATCAACAGTGCACTGACCAGAATGCTAATCATGAACATCTGCGGCCGGAGGAAGGTTATCTATTTTATGTAGATTCTTTTGCAATTTAGATGTTAACTATGGGTACTAAAAAAACTAAGGTTATGGTTATTCACACTGTATATAAATACATTTTGTGGACAACCTGCACATATACGATGTATGAAGATATTCACTTGTGTTGGCATCAATAAAATAAATCGCCTGTATTTCCCCTGATGCTTATATTTATGGACCTTCTTGCCTACAACAAATTGATTGAGGCCACGTAGTGCGGTCTACACATAACTGATTAACCTGACAAACCATGGTGCATAATCAATTTTCAAAATAAAGCCCTAATGTGATAGTCTAATATCTCATCTAAATGTATAGTACACTTTTTCCATTTATTTTTCCATCTCTGCTACCTCTGGAGGGCAGATTCGATGAACTGTTCTAAGGCCGGCCATCGCTTTAGGAATAGCTTGCTGAAGAAAATACTGCTGGAAATTCGAAAAGTTGTTCTGCTTGACCATCGACGGACTGGCGTAGGATCCATACAACTTACGAAATATTCCAATCATGGCAAGCGGACCAGGCCATGTCTGCATTGTATTAGCCACCTGTCGAAAGGCACCAAGAAAAGATGTTGAAAAAGCAGAAGTGGCATCGCCGATCTTATTTTTCATATAGTTATGATTGCAGCTCTTTAGTGTGATTTTTTAGCCCAAAACGATCAGTTGGTCTTTTTACCGATTATGATACTTCTTATATTATACTTTACGTGGCCAAATACTATTTTCTCCCGTTGCCCACCAAACCACGTTCCTTGATAGGCTGATAAGGCTACTGTAAAGTAGAAATATTTTACGTGAACCTGTTGAAGGCAGAAGGCGGCAGCACAGCGGACTCTGTAGAAACACTGCTCATTCTCGATGATCTCAGTTAGGGCAATGCGGGTATCCTGAGGGTTGTTCAAAATCAAATTATGTAGTGTTGAAGCAGAGATTGTTGACAGATATCGCACTTACTAACCATCGCATTCAAAGTAGCTCTTCGAGCCAGAGAGAATAAAACATTACATATAGTGACACATTTAATGGAGGTATAGATAGATAGATATGAGAGACAGTAAATAATGTAACTATTCTGAATTCGTAACATGAAACTTATTTGATTACTCTTCATGTGTAGGCGTCTTACGTTGCTCGACATTTTGCTGAGTTCTTTGATAGCCAATAGTTGAGCAGTGATATCCCGCTCATAACGGAGTTGGTATCGCCAATGGAAATCCTGTTGATCGACGTGGCCCTGACGAAGGAGCAACATGTCAGGATCGAGCCGTAGCCACAAGACAGGAGAGTCCAAATCCATAGCAGACAAATCCATGTCCACTTCTTCACCTGTAAGTTTAGCAGTTAGCAACATTAACATTTAATTTTTAAATGCTAGACGAAGCAAGCATGATAATGTGGACATGTATCAAATAAGAGCAGGGCTGAAAATGTTTGTTGAAATGTATTATTATTTGGGCGCACTAGTGCTACCACCGTCCGTCGTTTACCTTAGCTTACTACGCTATTTTCATTTATTGAATGCTGTATTCAGAAATTTTAATTTCAATACTCAGCGTTCGTACGACAATATAGTCTATATACTGTGTCGTTACATATATATTCAAAAGTAAACACACTGACCGTAAAAAGTTAACCTATAAACAACGGTCGAAATGTTTCAGAAAAAAAATCAGTTATAGGAAGGAAGCTGAAATGACTGCTAAATCAAACAGTTTATCTACCTGTAGCCAAAGGGATCTTTTTCTTTTTATTTCGGCGCGATTTTGAATGACATGTTATGTCGTGCTTCGAGCTGATTTCTTCAATCTGGAGGGTGTGCCGAAATGTGCCATCCAATTCCTGGATAGCAATAATTAATGGCCCATTGTATTTTTTCACACCCGTCATGCCCACATCGGGCTGCCGAATTTCCAACTCTACTGTATTACGTTTTCTATTAAAGCTAAAATGGCCAACGAACTTAGCGTGTCCTCCTTGCCGAACCCAATGCTCGATGAATGTGCCGATCTCCTTGCCTGTGACGAGAAATACTGCTTTTTGAAACGAGCTGCTTGATACCAACATATTGTCCTGTCCAGCTGTTCCTTTCGTGGCAGACGCGGCCAGTGAGAGTAACTTGTTGAACACCTAAATAGCACAAAGGCACACCCTATTAGCATGCAATCTTGTGTGGCACCAAACTGCTAATTTGAAAGCTTCGGCTATTTCATGGAAGGTTTCATATTTTATCTATGTAAGAAATGGTAGAATATCTGTGAAGACAACGCAAGGTGTCTTGAAATTTAAACTAAATCTTTTAAGGGTTTAAGAAACGAAGCATCTTTGGCCATATGACATCAAAACCTACAAAAGTATCAATTTAGAACTAACTTGGACTTAATGCCGGATGTGATTTGCCCTATATATCATTGGAAAATATATTGTCGTGCCAGAACTGTCTATTCTTTCTCCGTGAAGAATATGAGGATAGGTATATGTAAATTGGGTTAAACCTGCTTTTTGCTGAAATAATCCCATTTCAGCTAATTGGCAATAAATAACTAATATGAGTGAGTCGGAAAAATAGGTTCTAAACAACGAACTGGCAAATTGATTCAGAACATATCGGCACAGCTGCACGTGCCAATTTGGACAATAGGCTTCGTACTTGAGGTATATCCATTAGTTTACAGACTCTGTTGGCTAGAACAAACCATGGAACTCCTAGAAACGTTTCTGGACTTCTACTAATGAGCATTCTTGTCACTGAAATCGTCTTCATTAGCCAAAAACGTGCTTCAAAGTATCAGTCACCCTTTAACTTCAGTGTCAAACCTATGTTTTGATTAACGTTCGCTATCGCAAGAACAAATTGTTGTATCAGCGCATAGCCTTCTTGACAAATTGATTTCATTTCAAGTACGCCCAATGCACTCACTGTGTAGAACAAGTAACACGCTACAGTCCCCAATCTAGGCGAAGCCTGTTTCTGCACTTCGCTGGCATCACTGATGTTTGAATGATACGAAATGAAAGAACAGAGTCGTAGCTTCTTTCGTAGTTCTATGACTTGACAAGTATTAACTTTTAGACTTCAATGATGTACTAGCTATTCACTGAGCTCTATCAACACCTAAGGGACTGACCTCAGCTTTTGGCACACAATCCACATAGCTTTTTCTACCTGTAACAGTAGCTCTTTGCCAAGTCTGTTTTCGAGCATTCGGATGACTAGATGCGCCTTTTTGCGAACAATCTCTAGGAACGTAGGACTCAGCGTATGCAGGTGGTTGACGGGGAAATGAAAATTCACTCCTGGCTGTTCGCTCCCTGATGAGTCAAGCACGACTCCACCATACTCCACCTCGTAGGAGCAGACCTGTATATAAAACAATGTCACAGCTGCATAAGTGTCAACCATCTAAAAATAATAATGCTATTATTATTAGAATTATAGATTGCATACAATCTCTAGAAGAGGCGAGTTAGCGCATAATATCAGTTCCGTAGGATTCATACTACTACTGCAGATGACGTTCAATCTTGTTATAGTGTTTATTTAAGGCCGCACTATTATTGCAATAGATATAATGATCCATTGTGTATACAGGCGATCATATACCCGGTATATTAATATCGTAATTACATTAAATATAATCTATAGGAGCGGGATAAAGTTGGGTAACCGCTGATGATAATAACCCCGGTCTGTTGGGCTGCGGAGTAATATTCCACTACGTACCTCCTCAAGATCTTGCATTAGATGGTATCGATATTCGTTATTTCCAAATGCCTTTCTCGAATATTGCCCAGTCAGATACGAAGTGATGCCGAGCGGTAACCACACATCTGACCAACTAAGGGGCGAAATGAAAGCACCGAAAAATTGCGAGGCCACTGCAGACGCCATTAAGCGACGCGACACATACGTCTGTTCAATGATATGTCGCGTGTGAAGTAGAGATGTGGATAAAATTGACATCGATGAATAGGCGCAAACATCTTCGTATGCCTCAGCCACAAAAACCTGAAAAATTAAGAGAGACCACCAAGTAATTGGAAAATTATTTAAAAGTGACGAAAAAACATAGTTCTTATGCGTTTATTCAACTTTATGAAACTCGTAAGCGTCACATGCTTTTACAAAGTTTACTAAAAGTATTGCGACGCTTTTTTAATTATTGAAAGATTGATTTTGTGACTATCTGTTTTGGAATAAGCGAGATCATGAAAATATTTTGTTATCGCCGTGCTATGTTATTAGCCTAAACTTGTCCTACTGAAATATCTTACCATGCTTTTAGACAGCCTACCTACTTGTTTACCACTTGCGCTTGCCCACAAACAAATCATAGAGGTATTATTCTCTCCGAAAACATAAATGCACTCAACTTCTTTTGCACATGCCTTACCTGCTTATAGCAAGAGTACGGGTATCGCGTAGAAAGTAGCTCTTCGTAGAATTCAAACGCTTCATGCAAGAATGATGTTGACTGCCTGAGCTGCGGAAGTAGCTGTGGCAAACAGAAATGTGTAACTTCGTGCATATTGGGATCGACCAGGATATCAAACGGTCCGATTGCGACAGCGATGTTGGGCGCCGAAGTGGGAATTGTAAGTGAATAATGAAACGTCTTTTTTTTGGTAGACTCCGGCGTAAACACGACCTCGACTAAGTCACCGGGTGCGACCACAGTCAAGTAGGAATCGACCTAGAAATATCAACTAATGCAGTTTATTATACGTGCACGTTTCTATTAAGAAAAACTATGGATATCCACATCCTAAACTAAATTGTACGGCCTTAATACAATCTATGCAATAACCTTATCAATTACCTCTATCACAAGTCGTATTCCTATCGTAAACAATCATACTATATTTTATACGAACGACGGGACAAGGGCAGAAAACGGTACTTGAAATATTACAAGCTGTACTTTGATCACTGCGAAGCAATGTCCAAATCATGTATCGCTCACCGTAAACTCCATCTTCCATGTGCAAGGATCACAAAACGTATCTATACAGGGGAACCAGAGTCGGGATGAGTTATGCCATCCATAGGTGAAGCAGTGAGCTGCTCTCTCCTGTAATGAACCCTCGCCGTCGGGAACTACAAATTGCATTCCCCCGGCAGGCCGTTCGAGGGAGAACTCCACCGCAACACGGAAAGGACAGTCCGCCGTAATCGTCACATCTGACGGAATTCGCACGGACACCTAAGCAGCCGATAAGGAAAGAAAACATACATTTCATTTACAACAGCAGATTTTGTAGAAGCCTGCATAGTCCTGTGAATCTGAACATCATAGCTAGACAAAAAAATATACAAGTATTAATCTTCTTTTTTGTTTAACCCGAATCGCAGCCCATATCTCAATAAATTCGATTTCCATTAAGGTCGACTTCACCTGCATGGACACTGCGTTGACATATACTAACCTCCCCGTACCCTAGTGACCCGTCAACAGCGGACACTGCTGAAAGGTGCGCTTGTGAAAAATAGTCGAGATTTCTTTGCTTGGCCTTTGCTTCGTCCTGGCAGATCTCCATCGTTGGATCGTTATATGTAAACGCTGAATCGTGAACATCGTTGACGCGGATTCTGCGGTGATTGGCAAAGCTTGTTATAATAACAAATAAAGGGATTGGCCAAAGTAAAGCCATTTGCGTTCTAAATCGAAACCTCTGTACGTGGCCCTACCTGTAAATTTTGCACTGCTTACAGTTGAGACGGACCCACCGAACATTATTCTTAATCGGGTTGAGTGTGAGTTCGACTAGACCGATCAGCGACTGACGTTGAAAATTGATAGCGGTAATGCATAAGACCTGTATGAATTGCAATGATTCCAACACAGCAAAAAACATATTTACTAATACCTAATCGCGCTCTATGTTTGGTTAATTTATAGAAAGTCACTTTTAATTGTTCTTACGATAAATGAACTAGATGTCATTAGCGCCCCATATTATATTTCCGAGTTCCTCTGGCACGCTCTCCTATTGAAGTATGGATCTAGCAGTCAATATTTTTCTTTGATGAGAGCAATTAGATATTACTCCAACCTGTTGAAGAAGTTTGTAGGGTCTTTCCCTCTCTGTGACGCGGTTCGAAGTAGCGCTTTCGCTTTTCATCTGCAAATGTCGGCAGTCCAAAAACCAGCATGAATTAAAATCAACTACACAATCGATTTCCACTCCGTACAAAATATCTGTGATAAATGAACACGTACACACCGCCGCCCTCATCGTCGTTGTTGCGTCATTTGTTTGAACAGTGCACAGCACCCCTTCCCCCCACCTCCAACCCTTTTTGTGCAACTTTGATTTGAGTCAGCCGAATTTATATCGGCGATACAAAACGTTATATAAATTCTATATAAGAATTATAGTTGTGTTTCATACCTACTGTATTTAGTAGTATATGAAACCTTCTTATGCGAGATACGGCGTTCTCATTCATCGTAATGGAGAATATGTGTTATGTTACAAGTTATTGTAGAATAGGAATTGGACTAGACAGACTGTCCGCACGTGCATGCTATCATACAAAAAATTGAATTAATGCCACCAGCAGCCTACCATTAGGACGAACCAACTGATGGCCACTGTAAGCTTTTTCAAACCGAGCAAGTTCGCCATTGCTTACTAATCACAACTCATAGCTATCCAAAACTAGCCAGTACCTTCTTCCAATTATTTAAACGACAACCTGATAAACGCTTACCGTAATCAGAGATTTGTCATAAATTGTCAAAGATTTATTTCGACACTATTTCTTACAGATTCAACTTTTCTTTAGCCGAGTGAAAAGCCCATAAAATGAATTTTTTCTATTTTGAACAAGGTTAGCCTCGCGAGAATTGCTTCACTTTCTTTTTTAATTTCTGTAGTATATAGACATAATTTCGGTGCTTAAACCAGAAGCTACAAACGCAATATCTACGAAAAATCTTTGCTACCTACACTTTGGCATTTGGTAATTTTTCCTACAATACGATATCGTAACTCGGATTTCATAACAAATTTCTTTCTTACATACAAATAGATTTTTTCCTATACTGTCTTCCGTTCATAGAAGCTGGCTTGCTTTCTTTGGCTTACATATATGTAGCGTGCTCTCGTTTATTAAAGAGAAAATGAAGTTCCGAATTTTGAAGGCCAGCTTCCAGATGTAATAAATAGCGGTTAACACAGAACGTATTCGACAACGAAACTAGCGATAGCAATTAGCTGATAGATCTTCTTGTACATTTTGCCGTTCTTTGATATGATGCACGTACTCGCCTTGTTGCCGGTAGCGAACTATTGTTGCGTTACATTACCGTTGTTTTTCACAGCGTAAGACAAAAAAGAGTTTGTCGCCGCTATTTTGTTTTTGATGCGATAGTGTTTATGTTTTGTTGGAATGGCTCAACTTTCCGACACTTTGCAACTCTTATTTGCAACGTCTAGGGAAACCGTGGCATACATTATTATTTAACTCACGCTGTACATGTATTCATCTATATATATATATATATATATATACACTAGTTCTGCTATGAATCATTTTGCTTGAGATCCTCTAGAAGTAAGTTTAGCGAGGTCCGTAAAAAGCAACGCATCTGTCGTTTTGCAGGTTGAAGAATACGACGTAGCTGTGGAAATACGGCCGTACTAATTGCTCTCTCGTATAGTCGTGTTGGTTAACCACTCCTGACAAATATAATGGCAATACAAGCATTATTGGACAAAAGCCCATTAATTAGATGCGATATTTAACAAAAATGGGCGGAAAAGCATAAAGTGACTATCTTCCCCAGTAACAACACGCCCTGTTCTATAGATTTAGGCAGGCTGTCATCGAAGAGACAGCTGAGAACTAGCTATTGAAAAATTTCATTGTAGATAGCCGAAAAGGCCCACATAAAGCTGAAAGAATACGTTTAAAGGCCGTGTGGCACCGAGGCTGACCACACTCACTTTTGACTACAGCAGTAGTGTATGTTTAAGAGAATCTAAAAGCTATGATACAGGCAAGAACAAAAATCTTTGAGCACAAACATATACTTTCATTGACTGACCTTCGCATCTCAGAGACTATACACGTTTCGAGAAATGCGAACAAAATGAACTGGACTCGTCTTTAGAAAAAAGCTGAAGGGCAAATGCGTTATGCAAATGGCCAGAATTCACTGTTATTAGCCTTGCACCCACCGGCCGGTCGCCAATACGCTTCTTCTGTTCAGATATGTTTTTTGCCATCGAAAATTAACTAAACGTTGACTTATTCGATAAACCGTATTTTGGATTGACCTCTATCTAACACCATGTAAACAAATGTTATTTCTGCAGAAATCGCGAGAGAACAAAAAAATTAAGCTTAATTAGCCGGTGATAAGGTGGGACTCATTTACTTGGTGACTTATTCAATGAACTGAATTAAACTTTCGTTCTATCATTCCCCAAAATCGTGAATTGCAAATGATGCACAAATATATGTGGTTGATTCTCAGTCTCAGTCTATAATAGCTTAATTTATTTCAAGTATGGTTATCATGAATGTCATTTGATTCGGCAGATTTCAGGTTGTTGGAAGTAAAGGAAACGGGCTTTAATCTAGTTCCGCAATTTCCGCTTAACGCATTTAACAGCGCCTCATGGCAACAATAACAATTCTAGAATAGAAGGAGAAAATTATTTGTACGAGGAGTATTGTTGTAAAATAAGACAATAAAAATATTACAACGAAATTCTATTCTAACAAAAATAAAACTAAAAAATATACATAAATAAGAGTACAAAATAATAACAGAAATCATAGAACAGTGATGATAATAACTCTGCAAGGTGATATCAACCTAGGTTTCCAAAATTCAGGTCACAAATCTTCCGAAAATGGGGTTGCAGACGTCATAAGTATGTCATCAACACATGATATTTTAGTTATTTTTTAAATATGCTATTTATATTCATTAGAAGGGTAGGAGTAAAAAAAAAATAGATTTTCTGGTCTCCGCATTACAAGAGGCTGTCTCTTCATCGGAAGAAATGACGAATTTAAGTCTTGCGTCAATGGCACACCACCGAGCAGTACGATCCTGATGAATTAAGACCCTTTTACTTGAGTTTTGCCAGTCTGTTCTGCTGTTGACAGCCTTTGTGGATATGGCCTACCACAAGCGCCGTTGAGTAGGAATCCAGTGGGAAGTACTTGGACTGAAGCAGTTTTTATGACTATTGAGGGCACTGGAGTTGCCAAGGACAAAGGGGAAAAATAAGACAAAGAGCTGGCATACAGAGGTAGATTCCTTGCTTAGGCATCAATAGGCCGTTGACTCAGTCCACCGTTACAAAACAGGCAGCTCTCTCCCGGCTAGGCAAAACGATTTCGAAAAGCAGTAAACCTGGTCAAATAATGGTCATAATCCTCGGCTTAATTTGTAATCGTAGCAGGCGTTTACAGAAGTGGGCCAAAAAAACGATGCCGATTTCTAAATAGAAAGTGAGCTCAACCTTGGCCTGTGCAGCGACAGGCAGTTGGCATGGTGTCTAGCGACTGCATCCATAACGAGCGTAGAAAGAAATATCTTGATAGCCATCTCTAGAGATTTAAACTCCCTCACACGTTAACTGAAGAACCGGGCTGGGAATGACCTCGAAAGAAGAATAAACGGCTATTCTACTATTACATAATCAGGTAACTAATAATTATGCAGTTATTATTTCTGTCAGTTTTCTACACGAACGGGAGATGTGCCCGTACATTCTGCAACGACGGCGCTACAATGCTGATTATTTGCAGCTTTATCAGTCATCGTAAACTGAACAGTTCCTTATCTGTTAAAATTGCTCGCCTTTATGTTGTGCTAAACACAGCCTATGCATAGTTTTATACGAAGTAATCATGGTTGAGTTTTCCAGCAGTTTTGGCACTATACAGCAGCATACGTAGTTAATATAATTTTTAACAGAGAGCGTCTAGTGTCTGAGGCCTCATACCGAGTACGCTGCGTCTTCACAACGCAACACTACTCACAGAAGCAGCCTAATCACATTGATATCAGCACCCAAGACTCTTCAAGTTTTTTGTTCTTTTTATAATTCCTACATCGGACAGGAAAAATCAACAAATTACGATATTTATGAACAGAATTGACCCAACCTACGATAAATACTTTGACGTGTTATTTCTGTGCCTAAATGTTACGTATGTACCCTTCCAATATAGCCTAGCCGTCGTATCTTACGGTTTCAGGACCCATGTTCCTTATTCAGCATTGCATTCGATAAAGTCGGAGCAAACATAGCAGAACCTGATCTAAAGAGCAGGTTAACAATAAAAATAACGCATCACCATTATAGAATACCGAGCACCTGGTACTGAAATAACTACTAAGCTACTTATCACTCATCTATTATCTAATTATAAGCCTACTTCAGGTTCTACATATTATCGTTTAATATGCATCATTCATCAATCGGCGTCAGAGAAATGAACATGTTATTTCTTCGAAAGTGATTATTCTTTTGATTAATTTAGGCGCCACCATAGCATGGCAGTGGTTAGTAGGTATATTCGTTTTCGCTACATATGTCTCTGCGTTGAATGTGTACAAATGGTTAGTGCGCCCGAACCAGACCCACTGGAGCACTTTCCCTCGCCTAACCATACAAGGAAAGGGACTTTATTTCTCTTTCAGCCCCGGGGCTCGGAACAAGCGCCAGGCCGCTGCTCGATGTAGGATTCCGGCATTTGTCAGCGGCGGGTTTCAAACGTCAGCCCGAAGAACGATTTAGTGTACCTGCTTTAACTATATTCCAGTAATTATAGGACATCGTTATGTGTGTGATACACACTCCAAATGAATTTAGTTTTTTTTATACGTTCAATATTCATTTCTGGGTTACATGTACTGGCGAGTGAAACCTTTAAAGACGACCAGTTGGTTTTCGAGGCAGGAACGTTGTCTATGCAAAGTTTCAAGTAGATATACAGTGCTTTAGTGCAAAAGGATTAAACAACTGTCCGCACCCAGGGCCGCGGTCGTCGGACCTTAATGGATTTGTTACCTGTTTAGATCAAAAAGCTATTGGTTGAAAGCTATAACATTTGTGCTGCGTCGACCGTGATAGGATTGACTGGTCCCAATCCTTGCCTCTTTTTTACTCGTACTGTGCAAGAAGTGTGTTTGCTTCATTCGTTCGTTCAAAATGAGCTTGGAACTGCGAACTGCGACCGTACAGACGTGCAAATACTCAATGGTAAGTACCGTAGTAGAAACTGCTGTACAGAAATGTTCATATAACCATTTCGCTTACAGAAAAAAACTAAGCACTAGGAAATGTTAGTTCCGCAGAAAAATATTTTTATCTATCTGCCATGTATTGGCTAACACTTTTTATCGGTTAGATATTGCATTTTGACTTACATGGTATAAAGAGAGAACGACTGGTACCGAGCCGAATTTATTTATCACTTCATTGCATTCACTGAATTGCGAAATATACGAGAAAGGCGTCAAGTAGTGGCTTAAGGGATTTTAACTTCAACGTTAATCTGCAGTTTTGCAATAGCGAGTAAGCAGCGACAATTTTTTACAATAGTGCATTGAACGGTGATGCTCACAACGTCCGACCATTTCGGCGCATGTGCCTCTGAAAAGAAGTTTTACACTAATCCCATTTCATTTCGCTTGGCTCACTTGTAAGTTAATTTTGCACTGATTTTACCCATACCAATCGCACCAAGACCCAATATCACACTTTGAATGTGTGTCAAATTATTCTATCGATTCTTCTTCTTGTTAACTGTGCACCGTTTGTTGTTTTCCTTGGCAGGGGAAGAAGGCCTTAACCCCCAAGGCTTTCTTCCCGCAGTTTCGTCCGTAAATGACAAACATTTCGGCTAATTATGTTTCGTTCAGAAAAATAGTCCTAATAAGTCACCCCAGCGAAATAAACGATGCTGTACCTGCTAAAATTTCCGTCGAAAAATAATCTCTTATAAGAAAAGGTTTAATTTTTTTTTTACAATTCCACGCTAGACATCTGCACAGCTCATTTGTATGTGATGTTTTCTAATTATAAAACGTAGTAGGTATTCATAATATCTGGATTTTAAGCCGATTAATTTTATCACGTAGTGGATTATACTCAACAACTAAACGCTTGCGGTAACGCATCGCTATGATGGTGTTTAATAAGAGTACACAATTTCGTTCTTTAATCAGACCCAGCGCGGAATAAACAAATGTGTCAACGGTTACATACAGATAATAGCAACGGAATGTACCCTGGAAGATGTCTTATACTATAGTGCGTCGCCAGTGATTACCCATTTAACTTACATTAGTATGTTGCTCTTGCGTAAGACAAACTGTTACATGCCATAATGTGCACTGATTAACTTTTTTTTAAAATTGCCCGGGTAAAAAATCTTCTTAAAAATGTTGTGGTCTTACTAAAAAAATTCTTAAAATGAAGGCGTCATGCGTAACTTTGCAGATCCTGTGTACTTAAAAATACAAACAGACAGACAGACAGACAGACAGATAGATAGATAAAGTAAGTTGCTAACTAGCTATTAAGAAGTGATGTAAACGTTTACGTGGTCACACAGGGGACTAAAATTTGTAGATCTTCCATTTTTATAAAGGGCAACAGTGGTCCTATTTGGTGATTGATAGCGCGAATCAAGTGTGGCAAACTTGCTCTCTTGATGGGCAGATTACAAATTGGAACTGCTTTTTTGAGATTTCATAGCATTAAGCTAAATGATCTAATTAGAATGATGCAGCAACACGATAAAAATCATACTGCCGCGTTTCATCAGTGAGTGGCAAATCCGTTCTCGATGGTCTCCTATTTACGACCCAATTCGGGCGTCGACAGCTTATAATAAAACCTTTGCCCATAATGAGGAGTGCAGCGTAGCAATGCATGGACTACGACATTTTTTCTAGATGATTGTCTCAATATAAAGTTATAGCAAGACAATTTAGCTACACCAACACATGAACTAGCCACGGAAATACTGTGCTCGATAGGGACGAGGTTCCACACTGTCAATTTTCTTTTTCTCAGTGATGGGCCTAAATGGTTTGCACTAACATTATTGATGCTAAACGTTGCCACGATCATTTGTATCAGCTTGTTATGAAAGTGATGGCTTTGATCCTCGAGTACTAGGCTACATCGCTGGAAGTCTTTGTTTTCTGTCTGGCCAGCTGGCTGGCTGGCTGGCTGCTGATGATGTTATTCGTGTGGGTCACAAAATTCTGCTTTTAATTCAAACTTCAGAAATGGGTAGGTCAGATGGTACCGTGAGTCTGGTAAACACGGCGGTAGCGTTCTATACCGATGTCAAAAAGGTCGGTAGGCAACCCAGGAAGTTTGTACTAAATATGCTAAGGATTCCACTTAAAATATATAGATTAGCTGATAATTATCCTCTTTCGAAGACAGTCGCTGTATTAGAGGAATAAAGTGCATTCGTTGGCTTAAAAAAACATGACCCGGCAGACCATTTTGATTTGTATACTCAGTTAGAAAGCCCCCGTCGTGCACGCTGGACTCATGCGAGGTCCTCCTGACAGTCTTTTAACTCGCATGAAGAACAGATGAGCAGTTTGAACCTGATTCCTAATCAGCGCTCATCAGTATAACATGTTAAAAGTATTTGATTCCATTGATCAATAAGGGTTCACTTGCCACTCACAGTTCTTAATCTAGTAACCATTCATTCAACCTGAAGAAATCGCACCGTTCGTGTTGAATGTTTCCAACATTTTGAAATGGCTTCTGTCCACATTGTCGGATTAAAGTTTACCTATTTAGAAACCATCTTCATTGAGTTCCAAAACTATTGTTGACTATGATACTAGAGCAGTTCATATGACTGAGTCACAACTTTATAATATTGAGCCTATTTTTGCCGCTAAAGAGCATCTCTAGGGCACGGTATCCGAGGCAGTGTGTAGATAAAATTGCTTGAATTTTAGCGGACGTTTAACTAACTAACAAAATCTTTCCTCGGCACCCTTGCTGCCACTGTTGATGCTCCTACAAATAGATACAATTTCTCTTGGTCACACTTCAAGCCTGCTGGTTAGCGCTTCCGTTAAGCTCCTTTGTTCAACTGGCCTGTATTTAATACTTACAGAAGATGATTCTAATTTCAAAGAGGTTTATTGTTTGTATTGCAGAGAGAAGTCTTATACATTCAGTGCATTACTATTGTGAGCTGAATTGCATTAAGTATGCACTCATCGTTCTCGCGAAACGACCTACCTTACCTGATAGAATCTCTGAAGCACAATGTTTTGGGGGCTAATACAACCCCAGCGATAGGGCCTTTTTTTCTAAAGCTATTTTACGCGATCGCTCTAGAATGGCTGCATATGACGAGATACAAAAATTACTGATGTGGTCACACCAAGCTTGTGTGCAGTTTTTATTACCAAATGTACATGATCAAAAACACACGTTTCTATCTTTACACCGTTCTAAAATAGTATTACCGCTAAAATTCTTATGTAATAACAAGTCGATGCAGGGCCAATTGCGTGTCAGCAACTAAACATTATTTCTGCTTGGAATAGGCCACCGTAACAACCACCGTTGTTGCTTGCTGAGGCGGCGCTTCGTTGAATGCCATCACTCGGACGTAGTAAACTTTGTGGCAATCTAGTGAATGTTTTGCCATCGTCCTTATTCCAAGATCTAGCCAAGTGCCGTTTTATTTACCGTTTAAGCAAGTTACCGTTAATGCTAAGTAATAGAAGGGATTCGTGCGTTAGTAAGTAACGGGTCCTTGTTGCTTTTTAGTAAAGACAATCACAAAGCGTACCACCTGATGAGTTTGCAAACGCAGCCAGGAAAACCATCTATCTAACTGGTGACTGTACTGGTCATTCATTACACGCTACGGTTAAAACAAACAGTTTTAGAACACATCGAGTCGTCCTTTCCCCAATCATGCTTTCTTTGATTTGTCTTTCGAAAACGAAATCAATATCTACGAATGTCTGTCAGCAGAACTCGCGGTAGTTGCAAAAGGCTGCTGTCCCTTCGCCAACTTACGGCTATGTGTCCTCCTATGATCCCTTCATCCATAAGTCTGGTCCAACATAATACGACCGATAGCTTCTGATCGAGTATTTAGTATTAGAACATGAGAACACACATAGACATTCCGCGAAAACATCTAAGAAATATAGGTATATGTTACATATGATCGTTACACCGAATTTCCATAAAGCGGCCTCCCACTTACCGCAATTCTTCTGGAAGCTGCTTACTTCAACCGCTACCTGACTAAGGCACCCACTGAGAGACAAGGAGAAAATAGGAAGGTGGTCGCGGTGTCAAGAAGTTAACGTGACCCCCTTTGAGCGAGGCTCGTGGACGCGGTAGGCTCCTAAGCGTTGCCTGCACGTTTTCGTTTCAGTGCTTAGAACAGCCGCAGAGTTTATCGAATTCAAGTATTTTGTGGAGGAGGTTGGGAACTGTTCTTGGATATTCCACTCATTTGCTTGTTGACGGCTCCCAACAGGTGACGGCGATAGACAATGACTCTGGCTGCTATCTAGTCTTAATCGAAAATTATAGGCAGGGAAAGGAAAAGTGCGAGTGAGGTGGCTTCGGGTTTGCACTACTGGTAACAAGCACGAGAAAGTCGTTAGTCGGAATTATTTGCTGTGTCTAAGATGGAAAGAATACAGGGAGGAGTAAATTGTTGCTTTCTAGTTAGAGACCTACTCTTTATCGGCTCATAAAATGTAAATTATAAAGTAGGTTGTAAGTGGAGCAACCGCTCCTACATTGGGAGCGGTTTAGTGACCTTCCGAAGTCGCCGTTGTTGCAACCGTGTGGAAGCGCACTATAGCTTTAATAACTTTTACTCGGCCCATAGTTCATTCAGACAAATATATGACAATGGTGAACGCGATGCACTCAAATCATCTTCCAAAAATATTGTGATTGGAAGATGATTGAATATCAGTGGTCTTTAAAGCGATAAACCTACATTTTAGAATTCACTCGTTGTTTTTTCCATTTGGATTCAATATATTTTTTTAAGTAAAGACAAATCAAGCTATCAATTTACTAAATTAAGTAGTACTAGCGGTGTCTGTGCATCGGTTAACCTTTGGGATTCATTTTTCGCCTTTTCGTGGGTTTTAATCCAAAATCTGTTTGTAGGGGCTTTTAGGAATATGTTGTTGAGACTGGAATCGCTGATTTTTTGGTGTGTAGTACTGTCCGGGACTTGTTCTCCTGATCGAATGGTATTCCTTTTTTGTTGCATGGAAACCTATGTAATGGGGTCGTTTTTGGTACTGATCGGAAAGCTCGCGATGAGCTGCAACAAACAGCTAGATGATTTCCTACGTTTAAATTTAGACTTTTACGTCGAAAAATAAACAAAATCTGCAGTAAGCACACCTTGGTTTCCTTAACGACGACGGCGCTGAGAATCACGGTGTTACCGAGGCCGCTACGCCGTTGACTAATAACGTTAATCTATTTCTACCCAGGAGGATGGAGTCAAAGAGAGCTATGTTTTAGTACATATAATTAGAAAAAATATATGTTTCAGAGTTTATACTATATGAGACCGTATAACTATACTGCGCAAAGTCATGTAAATGTTACATAGTTACAAATACGAGGAGTATTATTGCGGTACTAAATACTCTATAACATCGGCGAATGTATATAGCAGTTCACAAGAACATGAGAACAACAAAATCAACGTTTTGTCTAAACTATATTTGAGCGCAATTATTTGATGAAAACGTAGGCTCGAGAAGTGTGAGGTGACTATTCGTAGTCTACGTGATGGCCTTATGGTAATATGTTTGCGTACTGAACTTAAAAACGAATGATTGCCTAATCCGAAAGCGGGCCTAGGAACACTTCGTTCCCTATTGGGAACCAGCTGTTTGAAATACCTTGAATGCCTTCAATATAAAATGTGTGTACCTTGTGTGAAGGCCACATATTGGTGCTGAGATCAACATGGAGTTCTACAAAACTTGCGATTCGAGGTATTGTTTATGATATGTTAAGCAAGCTTTAAATATGCGTATTTCGTGAAGTAAGCATTTGTACCTTGACACCGCTGTAAAATGTCAGCTATTCATAACCCCACAATCGTTCGCTCTAGTATGTCGAAGGGCATGGCCTCACGTTTTTGGGGTACTACAATTAACATAACACTATAACGTAGTACGCCCCTGTGCAACAAGACTGATTCTGAATATTTTCGATGACATAACCATGCTTTTAGTAAAAATCGGTAAATCTTAGGTTTAATAAAACTTTAAAAACGGTAAGATAATAATGTGGAACTAAAGTACATGATTTATTGAAACCGTAAAAGTTTTTTACTATCAGAGTCGGGAATAATCACTATTTGAAAATCGCGCGCATGTACGCCACATCATTTAGTCTCTATGAAATGCTACCGCCTGTTCAGGAAGCAGTGTAAAACCTTATCACTTGTATTTTGAAACAGCACTTGATCTGACACTACGTTTGGTAAAACTCAATTGCTGGTTTTCAAAACTACCTAAAATGGCCCCCATAAACCAAATTCGGTACATACTGACGTTGATCTGTTAGGAATCTTATCGTAGAACTAAACAAAATCAAGCGTGGTCTACCAGTGCTAGCTAATTAGTATCTTCAAAAAAAGTATACGTGATCTGCTACACTACCTTAGCTCATCTCGATATTTTCAATGACCAGTAGCGGTCGAAAGCGGCGATTTGTCGGTGGGTGTAGGCAAACCAAAAACACGCCTGTTGGGTTGTTACTGATGCATTTTGACAGTCGAGGTTTAACATGATTGCTCACGTCTACGGGAAATTCCCTGGCCTTTAAAACATTTTTGTTGCTCTTGCGGGACTGAGCGATTTCTGCTGCTGTTTCCACTCCTACTACGATTAATATTAGCGTGTATGCCATTGCCATTGCATAATATGGTTGGATAATTAATCGTTAGTTTGGGCCTATAAATCATACGGCGCATGGTAGTACGTTTGGTTTGCGTATCTGAAATAGTGTGCGTTTGTGCTTTGTGAACTGAGCGGCAGGCAGAAATCTATGAATGCACTAATGTCGATCAATCGAAAATTCGATTAAGGTCACTCTCACTGGTTGGCTTTACGGATTGGTGGAACGTATCGACTCCAAGTTCATCTCATAGTTCAAACAAGCCCATTAGACTGCTTTCAAATAGCAGATTTTGTGGAACCTGATGTGATAATAAACTCAGTTGATCACTGGCCTGTCTTCAAGAATGCCCTTAATGGATTCCTGTCAAAGGAAATGAAGTTGATTTCTGTAATCGTTAAGCATATGTATTTACTTCCTTCTGTTTGGTAAGGAACCCTTTTTCCGGGTGAGTTCAGGACATTTCAGACAGCATTCCCGTTTAGGGGGGCGAGGGCGATCATTGTGACCTGAACAATTATTGGCCCAGAGCTGTTACAAGCTTCACGAACGTTGTTTTACGAACCAAATTACTGCCTACGTAGGAGAGTCTGACCTTCTTACAAGCGGCCTGTATAGACTCCACAGATCCTGATCCACTGAGAACGAGCTCAATGGATCAGGATCGGAGCATAGCGGAGTTCGTTTTTCAAAAAGCCCCGGGGTGATCATGTTATCACTAACGTCTTGTGCAACGTTTGCGACTCGTCTAATTCGTCGCAAAATAGTATACTAGAATTAATACCTTCTTACGTTGGATAGTACCTGCAGAACGGGTCTCATATATTACAGCTATGTAGGCACAAATAAGAAACGTAAGAAACTCCGTTATCGTAGTATAACGGAGTTACGCTGCAGCCAAACAGGCGTTCCTCGGAGCTCTATGTTTACTACATATGCTAACATTATCTTATTTTTCGTGGACAGCGAATCCCTTTTCTGTAGGCAAACCTCGTTTGCAGAATGATTCCAGAAAAACAGGCACGTAAAAGCAGAATCCGTCCTAAGGCCTATAATATCCTACAGGGTGCTAACAAAACATTTGATTATTTTTGATTGACACTAAGCGAACTTAAAACTAAACCTGTTTTCTTCCAGTCGATTCAATCAAACGTCTGCGTCGATGCCAACGAAGTTGTTCCGAATAATTTACCTTTAGCGCTATCTTAGTCAACACCGATTTTGGATTTGAAAAAGAAATAAAATAGGTAGAGCTATTTGCTTAATTTACGTCTAAGATAATGCTTATCCTATCTTCATAATGTTGGCACCGCTTTATCTGTCTTATCGTGTCTTTATGGAGCCTTCGTTACATTATGATATTGCAGTATAGGGTGGGTCTTACTAGAAAATCACTGGGAAGCTGTAGATCGTTTAAAGTGATACAATTCGAGCCATGTGGGACCTTCATTGGTTATACTTAGTTTCAAAAGCTTGCTTCCAGCACAAACTTCTCAGTATCCACAATCTATTTAGGTATCGAGCAGTAAACAATGTTTCTAAATGGTCTCCTGCGAATTTACCGTTAGGCACTACGACTAACTGGATTTTTCAATCTTACACATAGCAAAAACTCTACATGCAATCGAACGCAAGACTTAGTCACCAAACAAGGCAAATCTGTGTTGGCCTTATATAGCCCAAAATGGGCGGCTTTAATAGCGCCCTTTTAATTTGAAATTTTAATAGTCTCTCTCTAAATCTCAAACAGAGGTTAATGACTACTTTGTGAAACTGTGACCTTTTAGCTGAGGCGGTAAATAAAAAATACTTAGGTAAGGGAGATGCTGAGGGAATGCGTCTCGTGTACCCTTGTACGTTATAACATGTAAAAAGTTCATAAAATACTCAGATTTTGTCGAACGAAATGACTAAAACCGTCAATTACTGGTCATAGAATATACGATCAGGATAACGAATTAGCAAAAACGACTAAATTTAAGTAGAACTTTTACTGTTTATGAATTCGAGCAACCAGTGGTCAGCCTATGGGCTGTAACAGCCATAGCCCCGTAGTTCCTCGAGCTGCTAAAATTACTAAGCAATACGTATGCATTGATAGAAATCTGTTAATCGATGGTTTAAGAGTCATATATATATATATATATATATATATATATATATATAGACAAGCCCGTTTGCAGTCTTATAGCTATACTAATACCTATTAAGCAATATATTCTATTTAGAAAATTGTGACGCGCCCAAAAATGCCCATGTGATTCTGCGACTTGTAACTACATAACACGGCGGTATATCGGTGAGCGACTGCAGATTTTTGTCGGCACTAGGTCCGATAGTAGACAATACCACCAGAGTTAAGAATAGTGAAAATATAACTCTCGCTTGCTTTAGTCCTGAAACTTTTCAAAAGTTTTCCTTTTTTCATGCGAAAAAAAAACTTTTAACTGTAACGAAACCGTTTACAACGGCAATTACGTAAGCAGACGCCGATCCGATCGTAGATGTGAGAAGACGTTACGCAGTAGCTTCCTATTAACGAGTTCACTGCCTTTCAAAATAATTCGGGAAACTAAAAAAAAAACATTATATAGTAAAGATAATATTGCTGAAGTTGTTTTGCCCATTATCACGGTGGGAAGTAGCTAGCGCTAATAAACAAGTGCACTGAAATACGAATTCGTTTGGCTGGACGCAAAACGTCGGCGTATTTCATCAGTGGCCAACACGAGCTAAACACGAGCAATTCTATACCGTTGTTTTAATATATATATATATATATATATATATCCTTGTTGGCCGTTATTTTTTATTTCAGCTAAATTGTTCCTGATATTGATTTTACACCGAAATATCTGGTGCATCACACGCCGGAGTCGTGACGATTTTACCCACGAAAATGTCGTTTGGAATAAGATAATAATTTTAGTTTTTGTCAAAAATTAGAATTGCAACTATTGGCACCCGACAGAGATTTTCGGGCAAGCAGAATATGTTAGAGTTTTACTATCTCTTACAGTTTCGTTTGTGTTTTGCAGGGCCTATCAATAATTGGTTTAATCCTGGTCACGTCTCGGTTAATGGAGGCATCGCGCGAGATTGAGTTCTTACGCGTCGTCGAAGTCGATTGGTTGGGACAATTTGACGAGTTGACTTCAGATGCTGGAGTGTTACGTCATGACTTACATACTTTTATCGGTGAGAAAACATAGAAAGTGAAAGAGCTTTTTTCTACGAGGCAATTCTATTTTTCAAAACAACTTATGCTGTTCTAGCTTGGTCAGAGACAAGCTCACCATTGTGGGTCGGAGAATAGGATCTCTGACACATTCGCGTATTTATAGTTGCGCCAACGCAACGATAGTCAGGCAGGTTTAAATCCAGAGGAAAAACAGGTAGGAGTACTTACAAGGCCCAACTGCATCAACGAAAAGAGTCCTAGGTTTTTTTTTTTTATTTTGTGTCCATTTATGAGCAGATTTTCTATGTCCAGCTTACTGTCAACTCAATCTTTACCTTACGAAGCATCCTGTATTATGGAGTATTTTCAACAGATCTTCAGATGTTGGTTACAGCCGCACTGGTGCATTAGAACGAGACGTCATAATATAACGGACGCACCAACTCTGTACCATAAAGTAATGACCTTTTAAGTTGGTACTTTGGTGCAAAGTCATGGATGATCTTTAGGCTTTCTAAATACAGCGTTCACCTTCAAGGCTATAAATGATCAATAATTGGATAACGATTGTAAAAGTCATTATGTTAGTAAACTGGGATCCAAAGAGCGAAACCATCCCCGCATTGACAAGCTTTGTCTGGAAGCTTCATGAATGTTTAACTTCAAAAGAGCTTTTCAATAGATTATCCACTACTGATATATCAAATTGCCGTGATCCGCTCAACTGGGCAGGCTTTTTTCCTCTGTTTCCTTTAAACAATCGGATTTGAATGAGCCATCATTGTGTATGTTTATGACTTTAGCCCACCAGCTTCAATAATATCTTGTTGGGTTTTGGGAACCGTAACACCATTGCCTTCGCGGGTTAGATCTTATTCGAAGCGAACATGACTTGTAAGCGCAGTAAAAACACTCGGATGAGCGTTTACATTGTGCTAACGAAAGCAATAATTCTATACATGAAAATAAAGAAACTCGCTAACTAATATGTTTTCATCGGACTTATTTAGAAATCTCCTTTAAGTGGAAGCAAGCTTAGCTTTGGAGGCAAATTTAAATAGCTGCAGTACATGGGCACAACGGGCATAATGTGGCTAATGTATTTCATCGCAAAACAATTCTCTAGAAAGGTTGCAGTTAATCGTTTTTTTCCTTCTTACCTCGGAAGATAAGTAGGACTTTGCCCTTTTATGTCCTGGTGGTGAATTGTAAGATTGAGAATAAAACCTTGAGTTAATTTGAGGAAATGGCCTGCCTCTTCAGTATTGTTCCTGTAACTAATTAAGCTGCACCGAATAACTGTCCTCAAATGCAATGGCATCGAATGAGACAACTGTTAACGTCTTTTGTTTATTTTTGTATGTTATTCAAAGCGGGCTGCTCATTTTGAAAAAATACTTTTGTAAAAATTCGACAGGAGATGACTTGTATATATGTTTGTTTTAAATGTTTTTCGTTGATATTCTCAAAAGACTATCGCGCACTATCTGTATTTTGGTGTTTGCCATTTATCTCTCTCTTTAGGTATTCCTGAAGGTATTTAAGGACGGGGCAAACGATAGGGCAGTAAACCCTTCGATATTTTTTTCAATAGACAATAGTTGACAGTTCGCAAAGATTCGATAACGTTCACAATCGTGCGGACACTAGCAACAACAACGACGGCAATAACCGGCCAATAGTGAATTGATTTTCATACACCCGACCAGACACCTCTTCCTGTTTTCTCTATCTACTGAACATTATTGCGTCTTCCTAATGTATGAAGTCATTGGCTGCTGATATTAACTACTGGCGTTGTCTTTCCGCCAGCGAACAATCAATGGAAACCGGCCTGATCTCATAGTTCGATCCGGCATATCGATTCATACATCAGCTACCGTCCTTTCCTGCGTTTCATCGGCTTTTGGCGATAGCATTACTGTTACACGTACAAACGCATGTGACGAAGCAACAGGAATAGCGACAACCGTCGTTTGAGAAGTTGGTCAGTATTCTGAAACTGGGGGAAATGGCCTTCGTAATCATAAAACCGTTAGTCTTATGCTGCTGCGTTTGCTGTTGCTTTTACTCGCCATCGTTGCCGTCGTCACAGTGTGCTGCTCGTCCTGGCCCTAACCGCACAGTTTGCCGACATTTTTCCATGTGGTCGCCGACAGTTCGATAGTGGTGATGGCGACGGCGGCAATAATAGCATCGCATAGATTGGGTCGGCGTCATCATCATATGGCTGGTTCGATCCGGTGTCCGCGTTTCCCTGTGGACGGAAGTCTACCAAAAAAACTTTCTCGGCAGAAAGCATACATCAGTGCCGGCATGAACAGCAGCAGCAACGGGCGAACATGCTGCGGCCGTTTGGGGGCGCTCGGTTCGGGTAATGTGCGCGGACGCAGCCCGAGCGCTCTGGCCCGAAACGTGAACGTCGCATCATCGCGGTGATCCATTCTCCGGTTCGTTCATTCTACTTCTTTCGTTTGCCTGTCTTTCGCATGGCCGAACGATCTAGCCCCTACCGCAGGATCGAAGCGGTGAAATAACAGCAAGTAGCAGAAATGGCAAGTGCTTCAGATAGGCAATGAACGGCTGCGTCGCTGGTATTATCCTATATCTGGGCAAGTTGGGCGTCAAGCAACAACGTTATTTAAGTACCACGAAAACGACACGTGGAGTAGAACATATAAAGCAAGCTGGGAAAAAAATAACATTGATTAATAATTAGTTGACAGGCAGCTATGAAGTAGTTAGCTTCCACCTGTTGACTCTTAAAGTAAGTAGTTACTGGGACGGGTATAAGTTAATAATGATTCCTAAGTATCTTGTGACAAATTTATCTATATCAGATATACCTTATAGCGGTTTACTTTGTTTTATATGAGCCAGATCCATGATTCTGTTTACCGTTTATGAAAGAACATATTGACAGCATAAAAAAGCCTAAGTAGACTCTACATAGAACAATAAAGCACTATGGTGTAACATAAAGCGCGCATACACTTCGCAATATAAAGACATATTAACTTGACTACATTCAACTACAAATATCTTAGGCAGAATAGACGTTTCTCCAATAACGTTTAAACCCCGAATGCAGTTTGTAATGGATTGTCGTGTTTACGCGTCCGCTGCGGTTCCGGCAGAGGGGTAATATTTTCAGTTGTCCTATAGGTTGTAAACGCACCCTTTAGTAATCGATCCTACTTTCACTACATCTTTGCTATTGACGTAACGTTACAGTTTAACTCTTCGATAATTGATTGTTTTTGTTTTGTCCAGACTTAATTTAATCAGAAATTATGACGGCTGGCAAAATTCAGTTCTTGTACCCGATTACGGCCTGTCGTTTAGTTCCGGCAGGTTGCGTGTTATAAGGCCCGGGTAACTCGACGTACTGAGTATTACGTTGGATAGTAGATATGTCTGCCATTGCGTCTGCAGTATCATAGAGAATTACCGTATTACCGCTAGTAGAAATAGTATGACGATGCTAGTTTTCTTCTGAGTGTTGAATGTTTACCGTGATAGTAGTAGCTTATTGCACATCAATGTAACGGGGCGCACACGCATAGTGAGTTGCCTTCGCCATCGAAGTATAGTACAAACGAGTTAACAAATCAAAACAGCTGTGTCCTAGTATAAGGGACCCTAGCTCAGTGGATCAGAAATCACGAGACTATGACGGTTCCATAGGTAGAGAAGAACAAACAATTTTTTCAGTTAATTGACAACGAACCCACGAGGGTTGTGATGATAAAACGAATCCGTGGTACGCAATTTCAATTCTGTATTGCGGGGTTTGATAATAGTGACCATCGGCGTTCTTGAAAGAGACCGGAACCCGTCAAGGAAGCAGATGCAGTAGCAACACACCAGCAAACGCAGTGAAATGGGCTTTTTGTAGTCGCTATCATGCTGGAGGAAAACTTACTGGAAAGGGAAGTTAGCAAGCTAAACGACAGCTGTTTTGATCAACGGAACTTTCCGGATATCCTTCCGTTAAAGCAGCACAAAGCCACTGAAACAGAAACCTCAATAAATGAAGGAGACTGAAAGGGCATGGATCAGTCTCGACATCTCACGTCGGTGGGGTGATGAAATGGGGCGAAGTGATCAAATCAAAAACAACAGATGTAGTCTCATATATTTATCTCTTTTTGTAGAAGTTTGCCTATTTTAATTAGTTCGCACACCCCTAACAAAACAGACTTCGAGCAGCTTCTGCTGCGAGGCAGCTGTTGTATATGCTATGCTTTGCATATTAATCGCAGATCACAACAATAGTTTGATTAAGGACAGACAGGATATGATAAATATCTATCAGGAGCCCTAATTTTCTCCATAGTTAATTCGCTACGGTCCTTTTCTACGTGAACTGGTAGCCACGTGTAGCTTCCTTTTCTAAAGCCTCTTTAGATTGAAGGCTAAATACTAACAATATAAAGAATAGAACAACAGTGAACTCAATCACTGTTTTTTCTATTCCTACCAGGGAACAAATAAATATATGTATGTGACCTGTATCGAACTAATGTCGCCACTGTACATCTACGTGGTGATGTACAGTGGCGACATGCGTGAGAACGTCTACTAAATATTATATACTTGTTTTTAAATTGTTATTAAAAATCGTAGAGTGTTTAGCCTACTCATCTATATTTCAGGCGTGATTCGTATACCTGCGTTCACATAGAGTTCTTAATGTTGTACGCATACTTATGCATATACAATCGGCTTTGTTGTTTGTGTTCCATGCTGCTTTTCTGGAAACCAGACATCGCGTCGAATTATTTACCCTTGAATATCAGGTTTTTTTTAAGATCTCAATAGATTGTGATAGTGTCTCAGGTATTCATTTTAAAGGCCTAACGATTTTGTACCATTTCATGACGTCGATAGATATATTTTGATTCCTGACTAAGAATGTCGTGGGTTGATAGCCTCTTATACAAAGCAAATCCTGTTCTGTTCACGACGGCTGAACAGCGTTTACTGTGACAAAAAAAATGGTCGTCCCAATTTGTACGTAATAACAAAACGGATGATATTGAGTGTTATTGCAACTTAGATGCGTAAGGAGTTGCTTCTGAAAAAAAACTAGCGTTCAGTAAGTAACTGTGGTAGGAAACTTACACTGAAAAAAGTACTAAACAACGGAGTATATTTGTTTGATCCATCTTAGGGTACTTATCGTTAGTTTTGTGGATATAATTAATAAATGTGGGAAAATAATTTTAACCTTTTTAAAAAACCTGTTCTGGATTCGATTCTTTATGGTATTCTTCTTTTACTGCTACGACTGACGTCAATATTACTCCCCGCGCTCCAACTGGGGCACTCCTACCGCAAAAGTGACGGCGTCAAAGGTACGAGATTTCCGTAATGGAATGAAGAATTTTTGTTGTGAATGAATCGTATTTGTTCGGTGCAGCGAGCAGTGGTTTGCGAAGAGGTAAAATTGATATTATTTACCTTTTCTTGCGGATAAAACGACATCGAGAAGCGCTTGACTTCATAATCCTTACATGCTAGAGCAATGATCTGATTGAAAAATTGAACGACGCTCGTGGGGTATTTAGGGCATTTACTAAATGTTTCATCATGGTCAACCCTCGTATAAGTGTTGAATTTATTCCAAACGCATTCTTTATCGCTTGAAACATATCATAGTGACATCTACGACCGTCTCTAGTACGCGAGCTTTGCTTCTTATTAAATATTGCAATGTTACCTTTGCAGGTGAACTCACTGTTTCGCGGACGATTCTTCTGCTTAGCGTCATTTTTTTGCTTGTGTATATTCTCTCATGGTGGTGGATGGTCTTCGCGCTGAAGCAGGCTAAGGATGATGTAAATTTCGTCGATACGATACAATGCTCAGACGGTTCCCTTTCGTCATTAACGCCCCGTTTTAATCAAAATAAATAATTTCTTTTTTTAATTTAATCAAATTACTTAGGCGTTCGAAGCCCTTGACTTGTTCCGTGTCACATCCATAACAATGCTTACTACCTAATATAAGCGAAACACATTATGTAATGTTATGTTACAAGAGCAATATAATGATTTTACTTATATGTGCAATTGGTTCTATGTGAAGTCTACAAGGTTGTATAGGTATACAAGGAAACTCCGTACAATTTTAGCTAAGAAATCGCTAGCTAGAATACAACGGTTACCATGAAAGAGTTTAATTTGTGTAATTATTGTTTCCTACATCTAATTTGATTACTTGTTTGATTTCGGCTTGTGGGATTTACCCAAAGGGCAGCGTTCCTCTCAGGACAATATTGCTCCTTTCTATATTTGCGGCCGTTGACATCGCTGCTAGCACAGGATTTGTTCTGCTTCGCATTATCATGGTAAGTAGAAATAATCGCTTACAATGTGCTTTATGCAGACGACTGAAGCACGGGTCGGCAACACAAACATGGACTATTGACTTCAGAGGTCCAATTGCTGTTAGTTTTACCAACGACATTTTTAATGCACATTTTAACCGGTATGCACTTATACCTGGATTTAGTCACCTACAGGGTGGAAAATAGAAGTCGTTAGACATCTGAGAGCGAAGCCTGGGTTGATAGGTCGATGGCCAGAAATATCTGACCGGTCATTGCTTACATATAGTTCTCTCCGCTCTTTCACCATACCTGTTTTAGGCCATTATCATACCTTCTAGCAGACGTCCGTTGATACTTCGGGCAACGATGACCTTTAGCACTGTTACGGCTAAGTTAAATCGAGCCGACGTTGGCCCAACGAGTCGCGGGTTACTATAGATGAAGTCAGTTCGCAAAACACTTGCAGAAATGAAGCTAAGTGAGACAACTTGAACTGAATACGTGTCGTAGTGGCAAATAATCACTGCATTCACAGAAAAAGAACACAGAACGATGGCGCCAAGGAAGACGTAGAACTATGTTGTAGAAAGCCGCCGTAATATTAATAACAAAAATAATTAGACCGCAGGCTTAGCTGGAATCATTACCTCTACGTACATGGCGCTTAGATAATAATGACTATAATTACCACGATGTGACTGTCTTACCTTGTGTTGAAGTAAAGTAAAATAAAAGTCTATAAAATTTCCGTCATGAAGATGCGATTCCGAAATATAATTTCTGAAAATCGCAGCAGTGGAACTTCTGGGAGTAAGGGAAGAACGTTGAAAGGACTTCAAAATAAATATACCTCAAAGCGTAATGCCTTCTCAGTGTCCTTCAACAATCTAAACATACATAAAAATAGTCTGCATTATTTTAAGCTCTTGGTGCTTAACTAATTCAGCATACGATAATGTTAGTATTTTTTTTTTTTCGTTTAGCCATAGGTGGATCGTCTTACGTTTCCACCTTAATAAATGCGACGCGAATCGCCCTTAGTTTCAGATCCGCGATAAACAGTATCCTGCCGATCTAAGAATACCAGCACCGTCTGAACTTGAGCGCTATCCAGCTATTGCCGCTCTTCGCTTAGTTACACTCAAGGTATACATTTGAATAATATTCTAAGCGAACTTTTAATTTTGTGCACGATTTTATTGTTATTCTGCTTGCTATAATATGTTTTATACCGCTGCATTGATAGAGTTTTCTTTGTAAATAATGGTTGATCTTCTTCCCCTTATATATATATATATATATCCTAAAGAGGTTGAAATTTCTGTCATATATGCTGTTTGCAAAGATCTGGTTGTCAGGATAAAGCTATATGGTAGCTTAAAGTCATGGTCATGTAATTGTGCATTAATTAAAACTAATTCTACACCGACGACAAAAGTAATCAATTTCAATATTGAGACAAAAATTACTCAGCATTTGTTCTCTTCTATTGTGTCGTCTGAAAGCGTCTTAGAACGATTGGAAACTCTGCAACAAATGGTAACTAAAGGCGATGCGTTGCTCCATCTAGTCCTAAAATAAGTCAGTATAGGAGATATGAAGGTCGTAAATAATGATTTTCGGCGAAAAAGCCAAGACTAAAGAAGAACTACGAAAATAACTGCTTTTTGAGAAAAAAAAAAGCTTTTATAACTTTGGTTAGAGTGATTAGCTTCGTAATGTTTATTTAGTAATGTCTAACTGATTGTGACTTTTTGTTTATATAGCATAGGCCTTCATGAAATTCTGTTGTAAAGTGGAAAGCCGGAGGGAGGTTTTGAACGACTCAGACGTCGCGCTTCGGTCGAGCAAATAAGGTTTAGCGTCGCATCATGAAGCCATAGAGCTATCTTCAAAACCTTTCTTTAAGAAAGAGGAAGAATATTCTTTATATGAGTGAACACCGCCAGGATGTGTTAAATGGTCCTCTGAGTGCGGGTCAGACGGGAGTATTATGGATATAAACAGACTTAACCTACTTCACTTTTAGGTTTTGGAGTAAACCAGCTGACGCATGCCAATGGCTGCGAACTAGCGAAATATTAACTTAACCCAATTGAATGGATCAAATCACGATACCGTGTCGTTTTGCTATTCTTCTTTCTTTTGCCCTCATTTCCTTCTAATGTTTATTTGATGCCCTTTTTCTTACGTCTATTTAGCCCCAAAATTACTATACCCCACAATTTAGTGACCTCAAACCTTTAGGTCCATTGGTGCTTATTTTGCCATTTCCTTGATTGCCTTCTTTCTATTCCCTACCGGCTGGGCCTCCTGGTTTGCCCCAGCTCCGCAACGTAACGCAGCGTGTTCTACGTTGTCCTTTTTCTCGGCATCATGAAGATCTATTTCAGTTTTCCCTCCTTCGGGAAGGGTTTGGAATCATCCTCGGCTGGTCAATACCTTTATTGCAGTGTTCCTTTCCGGCCAGCCATATTCGGAGATCTGGCCCACCTTCTAAACATATGCATCTTAAATACACCCCGAGGTAGTAACGCTTCGCAGGCAAAAAGGCTCCCATAAACTTTTAGTCTGTTTCGATAATGACCACACTAAAATGCATAGAATGATCGCAAAAACAGGACCATGGTCGTTTCAGAGTAAACCTGACTGAAGTTAAAGCTTTCGTTTTCAAAAGAGCAAGGAGATACTTTATTTCCTTTTGTGCGCTTTATCATACCCCACAGCCTCAGAATTGTAAAAATGAATTTACTATTTATACGCAAAAGCCATAATACAGAAAATATTATAAGATACTTGAATGAGTCGCAATCTAATCTAACTTAAATTACCGAGTAGCGTGAGATGGTTGATTCTTATTTCAACTTTAATTTCAGTCGTCCACAGCCACGACGGATATTGTCGTATCGATTGTTGTTGGTTTTCTCACCGGTTTACGAGTGTACTCCGTCGCCAATATTATACATTTCTACAAACGATCGAAAAAGGTTAGTAGAAACTAAGTTAAAAGCAGATTTTCACATCCATATATATATGGCATTAGATTGTGACACGTAATTTTACTGCGTAAAAAACCGTATTCCTAGAAATATTCTATTAATGTATATTAAAAATGTTTTCAATGCGTAGTTGTATTGATGTACTTTTGATGACTAAGAAGAAAAGTAAGCTTAATTTATTCTATCAAGTGAGAGACATTTGCTTAATTGCCAAATTATTTTTGTACCTTTTTTTAGCACGTCTAGCATACAATTTTTCGTGCTGTTTTTATTACGTGTCACTGCGCTAGAGTTGATTTAGCTTGGGGTTTCGTTGCTAGGTTCATCCATGGATAATTTTTCCTTTCAACATATGGAATTTTTGACGAGGATCGAGTTAAACGAATTCGGCAGTCTGCACCGCTGAGTTCGTTTAACAGAATAATGCTGAATAATACTTTGAGCGGATGTTAAGAGGTTTTTTTTCGGGACTACTCGAGAATCGAGTGGGAAAAACGCCGTTACACTGGACATGGGTTGAACCGATGTTTTCTAAATTGTCTTATTTTGGCTGATTATCCTGCTTCGCAAAGGCTCCGCTCATTGCGCATTCGCCTGTCTGTAACGTCTCAAGCTAGATTTCTACCAGCGTGCAGCTTTAAATAGTACTGATTGCTGACAGTGGCCGAATTGCCATATGCAATTGTCCCAGTATCCAATCTGAATTTCTAACAATTATGAGAATGTCGCCTTGCAGACTGCAGTCGGACTATATGGCGACTATTCGACAGAAATGTTTGGCGAACGTCTAGAGGAGCTCAAAACGGAACCCCAACCCATGGAAAAAGCTTACTCGACCCTTCCACATCCCCACAAACCAGACGCCCACCAATCTGCCTACCCTCTCAACCACACATCATACATGTAATGCTGTAGTTTCTTCTCTTTCTCATGTTAATATATGTACTTCGCAAAACACGTTTTAACATCATTACGCATATCAAGCTTTGAACGCAGAAACGTGTTAATCGTAAGATCGGCGGGTTAAGCTTGCGTTCATGATGATCGAGTCGCGAAGATAGAGACGGAGCTGTTTTCCGTGTATAGCTATGACATTGGTCTCTATGCCACTGAAGTACGAACACTCATAGGATCCTAATGCCTATCTGCGAACCCGATAAAGGCAGTATATGTTGTCAGCTGTTGCCACACCGCTATCTCCACGTCGTAGAATGACGTCGCCACTGTCGAACAGTCGCATTCTCGATAGAGCTGGACATATACGTAGGGTTTGCGTAGTCGACAGGTCGATCTAGAGGCTCAAACTGTTGTGTCTCTTAGCCGTAGCCATTGTTGTTGTTGTTCGCTTTCTTCAATGTAATGCGTCAATCTCGTTTGAGTAGCGTACTAAGTGACGTTTTCCGCCGGCTTTATGGAAGTGATAAATCCGTTTATGAAGAGATTATTGCTAATTTCAAAGCGTAACCAATATATACATGCTAATTCTTAATCAATAATACATACTATTTCACGCAGTCAATCGACCATTTTCGTGCCTCACGATCGGATGTCTCATCAACATCGAACAATTCGTGCTAATTGATGCTACCCGTATTTTCAGTCGTCGTGAGAAGTGCTCGCGCCAGCAGACCGACAAGTTTTTTTTAGCTGATTTGGTCAAATAATCATCATTCAAAGAGTAATTTTCTCTATGGCTTCTGGGATTGTGCCTACTTTACAACAGCCAGCATAGGCTGGATGACATAGACATGTTTTAGTTTCCAATTTTTTCAATGTTTCTATTTCAATTCCAGTGCATCACCCTTTAACTGGGCTGCATCTGTTCATTCTGCCACGATGCGGATTCAACCCCATCCACCACTTCACGATAGATTTAAAACCGGAGGTATATACGCATTTTACGTTTAACATAACGATACCGCTATAACACTTCAGACTATACAGAGTAGTAGCGAAATTTTGGTGCAAGCTTTAATTTTTTCTAGTGTATATATATATATATATATATATATATATATATATATATATATATATATGCGTGTTTCTACGAGAAAGAACTTTGTTTGACCGGAATTGTCTCGTACGTTACGGCATAGCATCCCGACTTGTCGTACGAATCATCCGTAATATTCAAGGGTGTAAAATAGAAGAACACGACAAATAGTCTAACGCCGATGCTTACGCGAAGGAAATATCGTGCTTCGCATCTTCAAAACGTTTAGTCGCTGAGTAAATATAGCGCATCTCATTCCTATTTGAAGGCGGTATGATAGAGCGCCGTTCTTGGGCACCTCAAAATACAGCGGCATCGGTCATCGACGATCCGCACGCCGGAGCCCAATCAAACGAGGTGCAGCGCAACGACGGAGAGCTCCAAATCCAAGTGAGTAATAAATGTAGCATTATTGAAGTGCCCAGATCAATTCGTTAGCCTGCGAAACGTTGTGGCCTAACCTTCTAGGAGTTCACACTCATGACTCACGGTGAGCCTGTTCTATCTATCGCAGAGACACATTTTTCAGGAAAGGTAGCTATTAACATCATTGGGCGGAATAAGTGTTTCGGCTTCTAATCCCTTGAGCCCAAATAACGGTTAACTGTAGCAGTTCAACAATCCTATAAATTACCTTTGCTATATCACAAATGCAGTTTTGTATATAGTTGGTAAAGGGAAAAGAAGCTGGGCTTCGTTTGGCCATACACGAGAGGTGGGTCGATGCCTCTGTGACTAAAAATGCTGATGCAAAAGCAATGTATGATGAAATTTTGTCGTTCAATATTATTGTTGGCGAACCCATACGCTGCTGACAATAGTAATCTGGTTGAAATAGAGACATATGGCAATGCTTCGAATATTACTGACTTTTATTTCAGGCTGCGGACATGCCTCTGGAGATGCAAAAGACGGCAATGCAATCTGCTCTGCAAGCTATTCGTCTGTACGGTAGCGAAAAACATATTGCAGAAGCTATTAAGCAGGTATTTTAATCTTCTATGATGTTAGCTAGGGTTGTGCAGCCGACTTTATTTAGTTTTAGCAGTACGAAACGGTGTAATGTAGGTGTAAATGTCGATAATTTCGTTCGAATAGAATTTATGATGACTTCATTGGAATACGGCTTAGTCACGTTGCTGCACTGTAACTGTGAGGCCTATTTTCCTGTACGTTTCCTTAGGACTTCGATCAACTGTATTCGCCGACCTGGCACTGCATCGTCGGAAGAAACTGGGGCTCATGTGTTACACACTCAAAAAAATGCTATGTACGGATGCTTTGGAAGGATAACATTACCATACTTCTCTATCGATCAATTTAACAGATTTGTATAAATCTCATTAAAATGTAATAATGCCTTGGAATGAAATCGATTAAATTAAGCTGGTTGAACCTCGAGAGTTCTGTACAACCATAATAATGTTTTCTATACAGTGATAGTTACATAAAAAACACACACGCACGCACACACACTTATATATATATATATATATATATATTAACTGATGCTGCGCAAATTCAATGTATGGCATTTTCTGCTGCTGGCATTAAGCTCCATATCTTATTACGGAAAGTACGTACCGGCAGCAGTTGCCTCACTTCTGGTAAATAGAGCTAAAGAAAAAACAGCGACAATTTCGCGAAGAAGAAGCTTCTTTTTCGTCCCCTTGGATACAACTGCACTGAGACTATGTGATCCCTTCCTAAGGTGGATACATCCTGCAGCTGTCCTTAATTCTAAACGAAGATTGTTTTATTCTTCTCTATATGTGACTTCGCGCCATCTATGTATCATAGTTACATAGTAATAATAAACACCCCTTCATAATACCTAAATGACATTCATGCCGGTCCGTCACTACCATCTGCCTGCCAAACTAGCCGCGCTAAATAATAGCAGAGCCTTGAACAGGTGAGAGACGTTAACTAAAAGGTTCGACAACTTCTACTGCTTCCTTCATGTTCGCCAACTCTAGTCAGCCAAAAGTGTGTGCAGGGGCTGATACTCTTCCTAACGTTAGTCTTTACTTGAGCGCAGTCAAATAAAGTGTCAGTACTTAGCCTAATTAAGGCCTTTCTGTGCTAATGGCCGAGTTGCAATAATGATGATCGTAAAACATTGTTCTCAAATCGAGGAACATGAAGAGGAAGATCGGAAGCCAGAATAGCATCAATAAAGCATCTCCTTGTTAAGACCAGAATACTTCCGGAAAATACCACTAGAATGTATACTACATACATTTTAGGTATAATAGTGTACAATAAGTCATGTATTTATCAACAACTCTGAAACGACTGTGTAAAGTTGGTGAAATAAAGAAAAACAAAATACATTTTGAAGGCTTCATTGAAGTTCCAGCTCTTAATCAATAAATCGATGTTAACGTTGAATATGTCTAGAAGGTCAGTCATAGCTTGCATGTATATTGTTATGCATTCAACTCAAGTAAGTGTATTTGCACCAACAGTAGCAGGATCTGAAGACACCTTACCTTAAGAGAAAAAAGTATTCCTAAGGAAAGTTTTCCTTAAAATACGTGAACACAACATCTAGACTACCTAATACAGAGGGAGTTCGATGAACGCACGTTGCAAACATGTGGCTCCTCTATTTTGTCATAGAGAGCAAGTAATAGACCCAAGGAGTTTGGTTGAAAACTATTTATTCAGTTCATTCCTTCACATGTAGCAAACGTAGTCCTTTTGATGATTCTGTAGGTTAGTATTCACAGTTTGCCACTAGTTGTACTAACATGGAAAGTAACTTAGGTTCGAAAATGGGCTTAGACACATTTCTATCCGCCTGAAAGGAAATAAAAATTATGATTTAAATACAAAATACTCGGTTGTGGTGGCGATTGCTCGCATCAAACCTCGTACAGTATGCGGTCATTGAAGCGTTTCCCCGAACGCCAGTGGCAGCATCGTAGCCGGTGGTGCAAGAGATAACTACCATGTAAAAGCACCGTATTCGATCAAAAACAACGTAGCAAAGTTTTTAAAACAAACCCCAGATGTAACACCAACAAAATACGTTTGGAGATATTTTCTCGTCATGTTTAGCTTTGATTGAATTGTAATAACAGATAATCACTAGTGTCTAGAAATAGTCCTAGTCGAGTGCCTGGGTTCTATCGTGTGGCGTCTTACAATTTGGGAATGACTTCAACTCACTCCAGAGCAGAAAGCCTTTTATGAGAGGGTTTATTTTATAATTGGGGAGAGCTTCCTAGAATCGTTCTACATATATATATATATATATATATCATTTCGCGCGCACTTGAAGATACGTAATTGACATAAAACGTACCCGTTTTCCCTAATAAGTCACTGCGATATGAATGTTTCATGATTCTCCTCTGTGAAATCCGTGTGTTTAGATGTAGATCAGAGCAAGACTGCTTGCTTCGAGATCATAGATTCCAGTTATTAAATAGTGACATCACGACAAATGATTTGGTCAGCAGTTACGTATTATCGCATTGAACGTGTTCGGGCGGAAAATGTCATCAATATATTCGTGTTCCGCTACCCGTAAAAGTAGCTCGCTTCAAACGATCGAGTGCATATATCGGGAAATTGATTTCAACATATGCGATTCCCGGACCGAAACAACATGCTATATTTTACTAGCTCTAGAGTGCTTATGAAACGCACTCTTTTGTATCCGAACGTTAAATCGATTAGCAATACTGGGTATCTATCAGCTTATCACACGTTTCTAGCTTAGAGTAACGTCAAGAGTGAAAGAACCCCATAATAACGAATCACAATACCATACTCTTTCGACAAATGGTAGATCGTAAGAGATCGTTAAATATTTCAGATGTACGAAATTAAAGTTGTTTGGCGACATTCCCACTTTTCTACATGCTGTTGTGACTGTCGTCAGGCCTGTCTATAGCGGAAGTTCATATTTGCCCATATACGCTTGACAGAACTGCGATACAGCTCATTTGCTTGAGCAATTGAAGATACCGTGAAAGTTTACCATTCGTGAAAAATATTCCACTAAAACTGGATAAAAAGATAAGTGTCTCTGCGTACGCGACAAACATTCATGTGTATGAGACGGTACCAAGTAATACCAAATCGCACAAACAGAGCTTTCGAGGCAGAATACGCTCACAAACGTATTTTCTTAGCTGCTTAAAGTGAAATAAATGTGTTTATCATAAGGTTTGAGATACATTGGGAGTTATCGCAAACCTCAAATGTGGTTTTGAGAGAACCTGAAAATGATTTCCATAACGTAAAGCGGGATATCCAAAGTATATATTAAGTTGAAATAATAAAAAAATAGCACCAAAAATTATTTCTGATAATTTCTGATGAAATTCTGATAATACCTGAATTCTGATGTTTAAGTGACAAAGTATGTTCGAGAAAAGAGAAGTTATCGCTGTAGGGTCATTGAGATAATCCCTCACGGTTGACACTTATAATGTGTTCTGCTTAAAACAACATACTTACTAGCCGAGTCATATACGAAAATACAAACTTGTTAGAAAGGCGACCTTTAGCTTTATTTCCTCTATAGATTGTAGGGTCTAAATCTTATGTTAACGGTATACTGCTTATATCTGTGTACTTCCTGCAAATTGTTCATATAAAAATAAAAAAGCAGTTCAAATCACATTATGAGTGAGTTTTTGCACTTCACTTATGTCTAATTACATGAGTCATTCATCCACATCAAATGGCGTCATCATAATAAGACCGCCAAAGCTTGTTACCTAAGCTTAAGTTATTTTAGTTGAAATTGCGTATACGCACGTTCTGTCAGATCGAGCGGAACCTCCTGTTCAGGAGATCGCAGGAGTCATGAAGCGAAGGAAGTCTCAGCAATGAATTGCAATGAAAACTCAGTGAAGCCAAGTTCCATCTGGTCACCTTCTGTGCTTAGTCGTTGAATAGTGCGACAGCGGAGAAAAAGTATACCAGTGCTTTCCTTATTTCCGTGTGACTAGATACAATGCGTTGATCTGCATGGAACTCGCATTGACGAGCTCACCAGAAGAGAAAGGGTTTTGCAAACTAAGGATCACCCTGGAGAAGTGAAGAAAAGGTCTGCTGTCTCTTATGGTAAATGCGAGAGCGGCGCCATCTATGGACTCTGAGGGAAAACTAGCCGTCCGTCGCAGGAATCCGCAAAGGTCACGTGGCCCCCGGCGAGGCTCCGTAGCGCCCCTTATAGCGTCGGTGGGGTATTCGCTGAGAATGGGTCGTAGTCTACTTACATAGGCCGGCGCACTGTTGTGTATTGTCATTAGTAGTCAAGGATCGAAGGAGAGGGAGAGAAACAGAGTCAAGGTGCTGAAGTCAGTTCGAGGCGACCGACGGTACGACACAGCAGTATAGGAAAGGACGAACGGACAGGGGACACACGGCAGCTAGAAGGAACAAGTGGCTAGAAAGCGTGTGTTAGAAATTCAAAGCATACAGCGGTTGGGGACAAGAGGCTAGGGACTAGCGCACCCTAAAACTTGGTTCTAATACGTCTTCAAAACAGAACACGCGACGCTCCAGCATTAGTGTGACGAGGATTTGTTATGTGCAACTGTTTTTGAAAGCGCTCTATTATAGCTGGTGTGAAGTAGAGGTTGGTATAGTGCCACTACGCTTTTGAAAAAACCAATACCTGGCTAGGGATTACAAGACGAAGTGCCTTTCTTCTCCATTGTGGCCATCGAGAGGTTAGCACATCTGGATTTGCCTGTGCAAGGCTGAATCGTTGCTGCATAAAGCTTGCAACTAGTAGTTGGCAGCAAACGTTGCTCGGTAAAGAAGGACGCATAGGATAATTGCAGTGCACTTGTGCTGGGTGGCTACTGAGATGTTTCTCGTTTCGTGTTCGGTCAGTCAGTAGAGGCTCCTTGTTTGTCTCGTAGCAGGAACAACAAGGCGCCCGTCCCCAGCGCTTTCACTGGAACTGACCTTGGAAACTGCATTCACCCGCAACAAGTGACAAAACTTAACCTTCAGCTCCACCTCCTTGCGCTTTCACGGTTATCCAACGGCAGGACAGCAGAGTTCGTATTTCGACGTTTGGCTGTTGCGTCCTTTAGTGCGCGACAACGAGCCAAAAAACGGCCTCTTTACCTGCACTGTCCCTACTAGCAGTTCTACCGAGGGACATCTCGGACTCATCTACGCTGATTATATCAAGCCTGGACTACCGGTAGATTAAAACAGCGAAATCAGGCGAGGGCGACAAGATACGCTTTGTTGCGAAATTTCGTAGGGGAAGGTCACAGAAGAAAAAAACGAGATCATGGAGGCATCGGATCAGTACAGTGCGGCTGCCCCTACAGGTGTACCCGTAGCTACGAATGCAGCCCCTCAGGCTGGTAGCGCTGTGGCTGATGGTGAAATTCAGCTAACAATGTTCGACAAGATGCGAAGGATGGTGTCCACTGATGAAGAGTGGGACGCCATTCTGTTGCAGAAGATGGAGCTCAAGAGGAATCGGGGTACGCTAGTGCAGTCATTCATCATTATCGGCATAATATATGCACAAAGTTGCTATGTAAAATGCCACCTGACCGATCGATTAACTGTCTGTTGAGGCAGTAGCGATTATATTAATTCACACACAAAGTATAATAACTTATTTGAAGAGATCAAACAAAGAATATAAACTATTTTTTTGTTTGTTGAGGATTGTCATTTAGCGCGCTAGAACAAGTCTAGTTGAGTAATTTTTAGTTGTGCGCCAGCTTTCAGCTGTTATGTTTATCCATCTTCCTATATACGATTCTCGTTGTAAATGATATCAAATACTTTTCTATGTTAGGATGCTAGTGAATTTCTTTATAGTAAGGTATATCTCATGCGGTTAAAGATACCCCTAAGAAGAGTTGTCACTACAAGAACACTATTAACATTTAGACAACAAAACTCAGGCCTCGGTAAACGGTCGCTTATTTCATAGAGCAATAATCCAGGCCCCGCTAAGGGATGAGACCGAATCTAGAACCCTATCAGTTTTTCTAGCTGAATACACAGTATTATCTAAAATGGTAGGTCTATTAAACGGATCCAAAGGGACTTCAGAGCTACCCGCAAACGTCGGAAGACATCGCTCATGCAAGAGAGTTGTCATTGGCAAAAGGGCTAAGGCATATAATGACCGAACATGCTATGACAATGCATACTTATAGTCTAAATAGGAAATATAACCACCCGTGCTGTATGCTGTGCTCTATCGTTAATGTGCGATGTTACCATATGACGGAATTCACTACAGAAATTGCGTGGTGCTTCAAGCAGGGCATAGATTTGAAATACCAGTTTTACTTTATTTTGGAAGGCGGTAGATGAGCTCGGATAAGCTAAGTTTATTAGGGGAAACATAGAAGTAGAAGCTATCGTTTCCTATAGATAAAAACAATTCCTGGACTGTCCGATGTAAGTGAGATTTAGCCTTCACTGATCAATTAAAGCCGTATTTTAATAACTTTATTCTGCTGCAAACTGCGGAGGCAGGTGTCGGCCATACGGATTCGCAGTTCGAGGAAGGGTTTACGGCATGACTAGGTAATCTGCTCCACTTCTGATTTCAGCCAACCCAGAATAATGAGATTAAAATATCTGATTGCTTTGAACAACTTCTTTATGCATTTATGCCGATGACATGCAGAACAAGGACTTCCTGATCCGCCTCAGCAGCCCTTCTCCATTGGCGGAGCCGTTGGAAACGTGGGGGCGGCTATTGGAAGCAAGGTAATGAAACAAACACTCTATTCGATACCTCAGAAAATCCGCAAATATATAATTAAATAGTAATTAATTAATTGACCTGATATTTTTAGTGTTATTGTTATAGCGAACACAACATTATAGTTACTATATGAGAAGCAAACTATTAGGCTAGAAAAATATGTCTATCGGCCCTTTTATATTGAGTACACGCGGTAGCAAAATGCTACAGCTTGCACGTTCTAGTAGTTAAGAAACAGGTGTCGTTCGTTTCAGTCTGAGTTCCCCTGATATTAATCCAAGTTAATTAGCCCTCCCTGGAGTCGCTTTCTCATCATGTGGTCTTGAGCAGATTCGCTCGCACATGCTAAATTCATCTTTCATAGCATGCGTCGTTTATGTTCAGTCTCGTCAGCTGAACGTGATCCGAACAATCAATAATTGTTATGGCTCTACTTCACTTCATGGACACGACCTTATTTTGTCAACCCTGTTCATTAAGCCTGAATCATGAAATGGACCTCTCACATGATTACAATGTGCTTTTGTTGTTGTTTTGTAACACTGCGCATGGCCTTTGTTTTCCTGGAGAATATTTGTATTTTCAGCCCTATATCAGCTCAACTGTTCAACTATATACAAGATTATGCTTCGAAATGCTAGTCATGTTGCAACGTTGAAATTAAAACGAGCCAGTTTCCAGACTATGTTTCTCTACTGAGCATGTCCATACACAAAAAAAAAAAAAAAAGAAACGATACAAAAAAAGTTTACATTAGAAGAAAAAATTATTTTTTCTTTTATAAATGTTAAATATGTCATTTTTAAGAACCATTAAGATCAAGAGCGATCTGTAAACCACCAAAAGACTGTTGCCGTATTACTTGCGAGCACTCTTCTATACAAGAAAGCTATGAACCTGAAGAAAAGTAGAATTCACAGACAACATGTTTTCAAGCACCTTCAGTCGCCAATGAATGTGAATTAAACACGAGAAGCGTATCTTTTTAAGAACAATTTCCGAGATGTGACGCGATCCCCGGTTCAGCGGCATTCTATTTTCGTCTCTTCTGTATTTATATATGCGTGTGACTATTCTTCCAGGTGGGTGGGGTCCTGACTAAGGCTAAAGGCGCTATCCCAGTGCAGCTTCCGTCGATGCCTGCTATGCCCAATATTCCGATCCCCGGCCTCAACAAGTCACAACCTTCGGAAACCGTAGGCGACGCTGCAGCGGCTGCTGCGTCGCAAGACTACAGCCAGGTATCCGCCTATCCGTCTGCCTGTCTGTTCAATGCGGACTTTGAAAAAGTCATACGTTTGTGTTACGTTGCGTGATTCGGTGCTCAGTGTCTCAGTAGCCTTAAACAGGCATGAACGTATTCCAAAGAAAGCTTCTATGTATAACTCTAATTTTCACGCAGAACAAAACCAATGTGCTTATTTCTGATAATGTGATAAAAATCGTCCTAAACACATGTGTGATCCCCTTGATCAAATTAGAGACTAAATCCTTGAAATCAATAATATGACATTCAAGTGTTGGCAGATTGATTGGATAGGTTTCCTCTTTGTTCGATGTGGTTTGAACTTGCTGAGCGCTGACTGAGAGCTGATGACTTGCACATAACAGTCATCTCGACACCAGGAAAGTACTGGTTGTGTTTACTATCGTATGTGACGGCAGTTCACCTATTCTCACGTTCCGAAGTATTCTCGCACAATGAAGTCCTCATTTACTGTTCTCATCCGCAGGTGGACTCAACTATCACCCAGCAGTAAAGACAACGACGTTTGTGAAGACGAACGTGGACTGAGATCATTTCATACCGCATACAACACCGTCTTGTCGTGTACCCACAAATGAACATTTGCTCTTCTGTGCGTCATAGGTGAACAAAAATTGCCCCTTTTTTGGGAAAAAGGATCCTTTTCCCTGTCTCGGTACGGCACAGAGGTTTACCAGCCAACCTAATCGAACCACTAATTCGGAATCGACATGCTTATGAAATGCGCTGCCAGCAGAAACATGCTCTCCGTTTGGAATCGGCTTGTTTCACAATCGCTGTAACGTGCTTTTTAGACCACAAACGATTCGTGTGCCCCAGGCCCACTTAGGTGGCTGTGCACCATCGATCGAATTAGTTAATACATAAGCTCTGCTAATTCCACTTATCAAAGGAAACACGATAGCTTAATTTGTAAATTCCGCGACGGCGGCAAAATCAAGATGTTCAGTGTACAAATTCCCTAACATAAATATCCTTTAGGGAAAGGCGGTACCCTCTAGCCAAAGCGTGCATTTCAACAACTCAGCCGCAACAATATATCATTAAAAATGACGAAACCTATGAATTAAGTTATAGATGAAGAAATTAAACAATCTAAATGTGCGCCACTATCTAATACACTCTGGATAGTAATATTTAGAAAAATATACGAAACAATTGTAGCAGCAGCAGCACCAGCCGCCGGAACTTTACTTAGCAACGTCAGGAGCGGAAGATCAACAGGTTAGCAGCCGTGATCAAAAGAGGTCGACGCATATGACTCATACTGGGATATATATACACACACATATACATATATTAACTATGAGAAGCATTATTGCTATTATATTAGCACGCCCTTAAGCGATCGATTGTGGTACGAAATGTTAATGCTGCTATACAACTGCTGCTGCTGCTGCTGCTACAACATCGGCCAATGATCATGGTAACGAAGTAATATAACACGCTATTATTTTATGTGACAACACTTAATAGTGATGCAGAGTATTGTTAGTCGATTATTTTGCTTTCGCATCGCCTACATCTTTCTGTGTAACGATAAAAGCCTTGAGGAGATAAATGCATGAAACAATATTCGCAAACGGATTAGATAAAAAAGAAAAAGCTCCCGCATATAAGCCACCCCGTTTCTTTAGAACGTTCATTTGCAGTATCATGCCCATATGGCCCCAATGTCACTCGAACAAAACAGATGTCAATTTGTCATACGTCATTAGAGGCGAGAGGCGTAGGAACGCAAGTTTAACACTTTACCAGCCCGTTTTTCAGTAATAATATGCACGATGTTAACTTTGTTCCGTGAGATGCTATTCGGTGATGATTCGAAACCTTTTCACCGAATCAATGCATTAGAATCAACGGTAGTAAATCGGGCCGAACCCCATTTTTAGTTTGAATTACTTTTACCGTCGTTTGACCTGTTCGGAGTAGAAAAATAAACCCTAAAATTCCTTAGAACCGAGTTCCATTGTTCGACCAGTTCGGAGCAAAATAAACCCTAAAATTCCTTAGAACCGTTGTACCTGAAGTCAAATTTTCAGAATGCAGTTATTGCAGAATATGATTTTTTTTTCCAACTCTTCACTGGTAAGCGCAAATACGTGCAGCACAAAACACCCCAAAAGGTCGAAATCATCATAATATTCCTCCTAATTGCAAAAGGATAATTGCGCTAGTGAACATACCCTGCTAAAAAAAAACACTTCTATTTAGGTGCAAAGTATGTCGTTCGCATATATATCGGAGTTAATTTGAGATTATAAGCAAGTACTGGTTGTACAAGGTACTCGAACTACGTCGTTATTCCAAGGAGCATTTTGTGGACATATATTAGGTGAAGACACGAGTTACTCCGTTTTTTTTTACCAAACAAAAAACGCGGCGTTCGCTCAAACTCTACCACGAAATGAATTCATTATGTGTTGGGCATGATGACGTTCTTTTATCTGTTAACCAACTGATTTCTTTCTTCTCGCCAAAATGTATTAGGCCTGATGTTGAACAACTCGTCCAATAATGTTTTGAGACTTCGCTATTAAATATGCCATTGCTAAGCATATTTTGTGCTCTGGATGATACATTTAGTGCAACGACATATTCAACCCAGACTCTTACAAGATGACACAATTTTTGCCATGTGCGGCGTCGTCCCATTGAAGGAAGAAACAAGCTGCCTTGTTTATTGGATCTTTTCGGTTCGAAAGCCTTGTTCACTCGATGCAACTAGATTATATTCTGTTCCTTTTAAGCATTTGCCAGTGCATAGGACCCTTCCAGTTCCACTAAATGAAAATTTCTTAAGGCGCACACCTGTCTTGGCCTAACTCTGGGTCTAGCCGTATCTTTCGAAGCTATCCGCTCCTTTCTTCGCTTTATACTGATGGAGGAAATACAATTCCCCGTCACTGGTGACAGCTCTGTGTAGACACTTGTCCATGTGGCTATTCGTCGGTTGGTCAGAGATGACAAGATTCATTCAGACGAGATGTAGGCAGTCAGAAACCGTGTTCCCTTGCGATGTTTAGTCAGTTCGTGAGGCAACCAAGCATCTAATTTTGATCAAATTCCATAGATGTGTTCAAAACTATTAAACTACAGTTCTTTTTCCAATCCTGTTCACGATTTCTTTGCCAACTGTCTTCATTCAAAAATGTTTTCAATCAATCCCTAATGACCTCAGACGGCCGATCAGGGCGGGGTGTATCCTTGAATTTCAAAAGGCCATTCTTGAATTTCACAAACCTGTCGTAAGCAGTCTTTTCAGCTATAAAGTCCTTGCTGCATATGGCACAACAGCTAGAATTTCCATTTTTTGAGCGTGCTCTCAATATAAAATTATTCTTATTAAATTATTAAGTAACAACGGTTTTTCAGAGAAGAGTGAGCACCCTCGAACTTGTATAAATGAACTACTAGAGGAGAGCTGAAAAAAGAGAACTTAAAAACAAAAGGTACTCATGTTTCAACCTAACAGATAAACACTCTAAAGGTATACTCGTTCAAATTTATATATATTCGAGTAACTACTCACTTGCAACCTTGACATCTGTAAAGTCAGCTGAGACTACCTATGCTAAGAAAGCGTTAACTACATTGTACCTTTCGCATGGGTAAAATGGCACATCAAGTTCCCTACAGTGCAATTTCTATGCCGTTGGCGTTGATCCTATCCCGTTCTGCTTTTCAGTATTCTAATTATCAGATTCGCTACCTGTGCCACCGGTGGCGGTATTTGGCTCACATATCTAATATATTCAGCAAGACCGGTTTCGCTAGAACCAAGTAAGTGCTTCGCTACTAGACCTAATAATAGAACAAAAACGTAATTCTAGTTTTAATTCAGACAGTTAGTGGTTTAGTTGTTTCATGTCTGTAATAATATATCTCCTAAACTCCTCCTTTTACTTTAGCTTTAATCAACGCGATTCGTTGACGAGACAACAGGAACCAATAACTGTACGCGTCATATGACCTTAGTCGATGAGCGATGAGTAACATGTGACCTCTCACTCAATTTTTGTCTCTCGAGCTGTATGCTCCTATTCTCTAAAATCTCGTTATTCTCTATTGCATTATGGTCTATTGCAGACACAAAATGCTCACAGGGAGAGCCGCAATAAGAAACTTTCTACGGTGTTACACAATAGACGCGGCAACCAGGAGAAGGTGAAATCATTCCATATCAAACAGCAAATAAATACATATAATTGACACACTCGTACATATACATGATCATTACACTAGAGAACTTCATATCTGTTCTATTCGAAATGTTTTCATCCTGATATCATCGTCAGCAGCAGCAGCAGCAGCCACATAATTTGTTAGGAACAACGTTTTTCACACGCGAAGAGAAATATATACCAAAGAAATTGATATGTTCTTTACAGATAATGCTATCGTCATAATTCACCACTTGCTAATGTGATTTTCTCCCATTACTTAGTCACAATCACTAGCTATTCACTAATGCTTCTCACTTTATATTATCATGCTATCTCTATATAACATGTAATGTATTGCGCCTCAGTCTTTATTATTGGTACCTGAATTATGTGAATCGACGAATACCATCTCAGACGATGCTTCTGACTTGTCTATAGCTACTACTGTTTGCAGAAAATTGGAATCCATTCCAAAATATGTTTATCTATTAATTGCCTGATTTACTAAACAGCATCCATCGAAGGGGCAATCAAACTGATCCGCAAAAGCAAATCGAATTTTCATAATTAGGTACTTGAAAGAAAATATCTGAAAACGAACGCGGTTAAACTTGGCATTATATTGTACTTACATTTTAATTACTACTACAACAATCGTTACGTCACTTCACAAACACAATTCTGCCGTCTTTATCTTCTAGACTTATTTACGTAGACTTCACCTTTATCCATTGCCATATCATTTGAATTATAGTCAATAGAATTATATCAATCTAACTGTTATCACTTTAACCACTGATATGTTGTTTAGTTAATATCACTGTTATCGAGAACGGTACGTCGATACTTGATAGTATTCGTGTGGGGCAATATTTGCCGTAATTACATTACACGTAACAACGACACACTCCTAAAAATGATTTCATTAAGACATATCTGTAAAATTCGTGTACTTGAGTCCTAATGAATAAAATATATACCATGAAAAACGTCCATACACATGTAACCAGAATCCTTTTCATCTGGGTCAAGACCGGTGGGTATGGACCCAAATGCCGTTCGGCGTCTTAGGCAACGCCAAATAAACTGAGGAACAACAGAACCATGCGTTCAATACAAGAAATTAACAGTATAAATAGATTGGATGTTTAAAAATAACGATCTTAGAAATTGTGTGCAACACCCATCAGTCAGTGGAATCAAAGTACCACAGCTGTGAGCATCGATCGAAAAACTGGTTCCAAGTCAACAAAACTGAGAGTGTATAAGCGATCTTAGTATTTTGATTTGTTATTAGTCCGAGAGTTATGCCCGTTAACGCATATCAAATCCCATCAAAGAAAAAGCTGAAATTTTACACTGAATCTACTGCGGATAATGTAAGCAATACGATGGAAGGACCTTCACCATGAGTCATCTATTTCAACTATCATATCTCATGCTCGGTATTCGGTTGTACTTTATTGATGTTTAATAGAAATAATCATCCAATAAACAACATTATTATTGTGTATTTTGTTCAAACCATTGAAACTACGCAAATAGTGTTTTTAGTGTAGTGGTATTTATTCTGCTTATATTATGTAACAATTGTACTATGTTTTGTTTTCTTTGAAGATAGACACTGTTCCTACTGCTCCTCACAGGTTGTAGTGTTTCCCGATAATATCAAAAACGTAACTTCTTCTGTTATAATTAGATGTTTCTTAAATAAGAACGGGGAAAAATTATTCTATTGACGTTCATGACGTAGGGCAATGCGAAGTGCTTATCGTGTTTATCACGTAAATGAAGATACTAAAGTTAACTTAGCGCAAAAGTTTAGCATTTTCATGTATCAGATGATCACCTTTAACTAGATCTGTTTATAGGAGATAATAGGGTTCGTTCACATAAATTTAATTTTCATCAAAATAAAAATAATCTAGTACTTTATTATTATGGTTACTATGACAATAAGAATTATTATTATTGTTGTACAGTGTTTACAGACACGTCCATGTTTTTATATATTTCCATTTTTTTCAAAAATACGCATTCAATGGAATTTTTTTAGTTGTCTATAGTTAATCTATAGTAATCTAAAAATTAACTACATCTATAGTTAATTAATGCCGCACACGAATTACTCCGCAGTCATATCTAATATGAAAATTACGCCGCGATATACACTAATAATGTAAGGTATAGATATTTTATATCTAATGGCTAAAATATTTTAGCCAAAATAAGCAGCGTAAGTCTATTATAGGCTAAACGACTTAAGTCGTATGGAAAGAAACGAGTACAGTGTTCGATGAAGAAATGCATACACTTTCTTACGGATAAATAATACTTAGAGTCATTTAATTAAAGTAGAAAGCTGCAGTAAAACTATAAACTCTGAGATCGACAGTATAACAGAATTATTTTTATTTCAATTCAATCCTTTAGCGTATTCCATATTAACACAAATTAAAAAGCAAGTTGTGTACGTCACAGCAGCACAGGAGATCACGGACAACACATATAATCACTAAACATAGCACGCATGCCAAGACCGCAGTGCTTCTACTTTAATCATTTCAGTGTTTTTACCTAGTTCTTATTTGAAGTAATGCCTTTAGATTATACAATGTCATCTCATCTGATAATTCCAACGTTTCATTTGTTCTGGCATAACTATTGTTGGCGCCTCCATATGTTTCGATTTACCATAGGCCTGCCTCCTCGGCGGGCCCCACGACCTCTCAAAGCCATCCCTGGCCCTCCTGGATGCCCTCCCATCGCTTGAGGTGGCTGCTGTTGTTGTTGCATTTGTTGCTGTTGCTGCTGCCAAGCAGGTGCCTGAATTCGTCGAATTCGTTGACCCTGTAGGACATGATGATTCTGTGGCTGTGGTGGCTGATCCGGAACTGGGAGAAGTGGTTGACCTTCAACTCTTTGAGAAACGCCTGTTTCGAGTTGGGTTGATGGAGTGGTCTCTTCAAGTTCGGCTTCTCCAGATGAGGTTGTTCCGGATCCAGCGCCGGTCGTACCAGTACCGACACTGCCTCTAACAACTACAGAGATGTTTTGTTGGCTCGTCGATGTTGAGGCACTAGAAATACTCGGTACGTTTCTTGCACCCTCAAGGCCCGCCGCATCTTGTTGAGCTCCATCGGTTGATGGACTGTCATCAGCGCCTTCGTTTCCATTAACAGGTTCTACTGCAGCTACTTGATCACCTGGAGGCGGGGATGGAAAGGCGCTAGTGACCGCAACAGCGGCTGGTTGAAAGACAAAAGAAGATGTGCCACCATCCTCACCCCCAACGAGAGTCGGCGTACATGGCACGATGCCGTCATCGGTGCCGCCACTTACAGATACGCTACTACTAGCCTGTGGGACCACAGCATGAGATCCTCTCTGTTGCAACCCATGACCGGCTACTTGCAAATCCATCTGCTGTGTGGGTTGCTGATGTACTACAACAGCCGCTGTTGGCAAAGTGGCATCACTGCTTGCATCGTCATTGGCTAACTCCAGTACAAGTTCATCATCCTCAGCTTCTGTACGGGCGGTGTCGTCATCTCCTTCATCCTCCTCCTCTCCGATTACATCCGCGCCGCCGGCGTCCTCAACGTCGTCCACTACTGCAGCTCGATTATCATTACCTGCCAGGACATAGGACGATGTCGACGGTCCGGCCGCCGTGCTCTCAGTATTCGTCTGGGGCAGGACTAGGACAGCTTCTGTACGCACCCGCTTCACCTCTGTTGGCGTACCGCTACCTGCGAACAGTTTACACTGAGTTAGGCAAGTGTGAAGCAAGATAAACTTGTGCCTGCTGCAATTCTTAAAGCTATCCATGCCATCAAATATTACCACACATTCGAAAAGTTCATTTTAGTCAGCTTTTTAAAAAAAGTGAAAGTTTTCAAAAGTGAAAGAAAAAGTGAAAGAACCCGTTTCAGGTTGAAATGTGCTACCGGCTTGAATCTACTGAGCTTAATAAGGAAATGCAAAATGCCCTTCAATGCCAGTCGTACAAGGTAAAGACTAGAGGAATTCAGGTGACCAAGGGCTAATCAGTAAAAAATATTGAAATGGCTTGCTGCCACATACCGTCGTCAGATTCTGGTAGTAGGGAAGTTGATGCTGACGTCGTTCGTTTGATTCCTTGAGAAGCTTGAGGAGGTGGTTGATATGTTCCTGCCGTAGAAGTGCTTGGGCCGGGGGAAATTCCAGAGGTAGGGATAGGCGTCATAACGACGACATTAGAACTGACTTCTTCTTGAATTGGATGAACTTCGGCTCTCGGAGGCTCAACCATGCGAGTCGCCGGTACAACCGGCTGAGCTACAGCAAGACCTGTCGTTGCCCTGATTGCGCGTTAAAAATTATAAGCAAATTATAAATGTTCTTAAACCTTTAAGATTAAAGCTTAGGTCCAATATTCAAACAATATTCATCAGCATATAAAAAAAACTCAACTCTGTATTCGATAACTAATACTGCCGAGGAGTCGTTTTATGTCTCCGCTCACCTGTGCGCTGTTACCACAGGACGAATCGAGGCTGTTGGAGGCTGCTGTGCAGGAACTGGGCGGACGACTAGAGTGGGCGCACTAGTGGTCTGAGCAGGCGGTGGAGATGCCGATGGAGCACTAGAAGCGGAGTTGTTGCCGGAAACCAGTGAGGCCATACCGCTATCGCCCGACGAGGCTGTATTCGAGTCACCGCCACTTCCACTGGCCGCAGTTGATGAATTGCTTGATCCTGCCTCCGCAAGCTGACTACGCAAGGCCTAAATGTATTCGGCAATCCATTTACAATTAGAACACAAGTCAAATTCCAATAAGAACAATGACAATACAGCCTAGAACAATTCACACGACTGGCCAAACAGCAATTTTTCCAAAATGTATTCATTCTTTAACTAGAAAGTGTACTTAAATACTCCGTGAAAACCACAAGCATCCGCCGGAAATGCCCTCCATAGATCAAGCAGGAGTACAAGGAAGGTAAACAATTCGAACAAAAGAAATATCAGAGGATTCGATACAATAAATATGATCATTTGTTGCCAGGTCAAGGCGACAGGATATATTTCTCCATATTACTACTGCTTGTTTCATTTTATAATCACATGCATATATTTTTTGTAGTGTTTTGCCCGTTGGTTTTAATAATTATGTGAGTTTCGTTGAAATAAATCAACTGGGTAAGCCTTTGCTGAAATCATTGTTCAGGTCCCAAAATATACTTACTGAGTACGCAATTTCGATAATCATAACGGCAAATCCTAATAAACCATAAACAATTTACGTTCGCAAAAAAATATTTGAACTTAGTCAGTCATAATTGCTGCAGTTATTGCTACCGGTACACGCGGTGAATATTCAATGAAAGAGCGCAAATAATGGCATCCTTACTTTGATTTCTTCATCTTGTCGTCTCCATTTTCCTTCGAATTGACTTCGGATGGTATTCTCGCGCAGATGCTGTTCGTGCCGTTGTGCCTCAAGCCTTGCCCTTTCGGCTTCTAGTTCGTTTTGTAGAGTAGCCATCGTGTCCTTAATAGTCACCAATTCCTTCTGTTTCTCCTCTATCTCTTTCACCTTTTCCCCCGTTTCTTTTTCCTTTTCTGTGTATTGTTGTTTGTATTTACGGCCGAGACGCTTCAACTGCAAGAGAAAGAAATGAAATTCTCGTCACTTCCTTAAAACAGTATTCAATTGGATGCCTGGAGGTATAATAACGTAATATTTCTCTACGTACCAAGTAAACACTAAGAAAAAAAAAAATATATAATAAACCTTTCCTATGAGTTTACAAGTGTTCTTGAAGGCGCACTAATTAAAAACAGCAAAACATAATCAACATTTTAGCGCAGTTTTCTGTGTCCCTACCTGCTCAATGATCTCGTCTTTCTTTTTTGCATCTTCTTCGGCTTTGGTTTTGTCTTCTTTAGCCTGTCTCCCTTCGTTCTCCGCTTGCACTGCTCTCTCTTCGGCACGCTTAGCTTTCTCTTCAATTTCTTTAACCAGTACAGCCTGACCAGCTTGCAAGGTTGCCTTCTGCAGCCGCTGCTGCCATGACCTCACTTCACGTTTCAGAATCTCATTCTCTTTAGCTAAAGTCTCAGTCTCTTCGGTTACACTAGACTGTGAAGGCCCTGCTACTGAGTTCGCTCGAGCAGCATCTAACTCCTGACGGAGCAGTCTGTTGCTTTCCTGGTAAACCTGAAATATTATCTAGCACGATGTAGTGATTCCCTATAAATGTACCATGTGTTTGGTTGATGTTAAAGCATTACCACAAAAAAATCGGCATGAATAAATGTCATCCAGTACAAAACATAGTACGCGTACTTAAACTGAGGGAATTGTTAACCTGGGAAAGTTCGACTTTCTTGACAAGCTCTGCGTGCTTTTCGGCCGTAAGGAATACACGGGTATCGGTCTCCTGTGAGGCACGGTCGGCTTCAGCTTTCCGAAGCAACTCTTGCGTCCTCTCACATTTCGTCTTAAGGCGCTCATTTTCAGCACGAAGTTTGTCGAGTTCGGCTACTTTGAGTTTCCCTTCGCTTCTTAAAAAGTCTACGACCGAAGATAGCTCACTTGTTTGGAGCGCTTCCATTGACAACGGCCCGGCAATTCCCAGTGACGCCGTAGTTAGCCGTTTACTATCGTCTGGTGGTCCCAGACGAGCTAATAATCCGTCGTAACGCTTTTGATGCTCTTCAAGGCGCTCAGTCAGAGATGAGTTCTCACTTCGAAGGCGACTCACTTCTTCACGAACCACAAAGATCTCCTGCTCCAATCTAAATAATCATAGGGCGTTAAACTTTCAGACCTTAAACTTTAGACAACCGATAACTAATTTAACTAATAATTAACCAACAAATAACCTTTTTTATACACAAAATTACCAATAGAATACAAATTTTTAATAATCAGTACGTCTGCAAAACCAACATTGTTTTCATACCAAAATTGTTGCAGTAACTTGTATACTTCTATACATGTAGATATATTTTCTACTATGTAACGAATATTAACATTTCAATTGTTTTTTTACTTATGAAAATTACCTGCTCGCGGTGGCTTGTGCTGCTTGTTTTGCCTCCTCCTTGGCCCTTTCGGCCTTCTCAGTTCGTAACCTCATTGCAGCCAAATCTTCAACTGCTTTTCCATGAGCAATTAGCTCAGTTTCCAGACGGGACCTTGTTTCAGCGATTTCTGTTTCGAGGCGCTGAAGTGACTCGCGGTCTGTTGACGTATCTAGAGCCGAACGAACTTCTGCGAGAGTTGACTCCGTTTCCTAAAAATTAAAGCATCTCTATGAATTACCAGTGTCATAGATATAGAAAAAATGTACGGCAGATAAGAATTCAAAAAGAGTAGTTTTCAAGTACCACCAATGACGGCTCAAAAGGAACTCCACACTAATAATACGTAAAACGTTCAACGAAGCTCCCAACCAAATTGGACAGTTATTTCGTTCAGCGAATTCATATATTCTGATAAGGAACTTTATTTCAGCGAACTAACCTTATGAAGAATTTCGAGATCCTTGCACCTCTGTTCCGCTTGCACGGCGTTCTCCTCGGCGGTCTCTTTTTCAGCTTGAAGTCGCGTTGCCCTTGCCTGCGCTTCGGCTACTTCCGCAGATAGCTGTTCGCATAACGTTGCTTTTGCTTCTTGGGAGTCTTTAAGGCATGCCGACAATTCCTTCACCATTTTTTCTAAGCGCGTGCTGTTGTCTTTTTCTGTTGACACTTGATGCTCGAGTGATTTTGTCATCACCTAAAAGTTCCACAGCACCTAATTAGCAACGTGCTACTAGAGAAAGCGACTGGAGAAAACCGTTAAAATTCAGTTATTGCTAAAAACATGACAGTTCCTCATGTACAGCTTGGAAGAGAGTGAATCATTCCCATCGTGAGGAATATTACTTGTGAGTATGAAACCTGTTTTTTTTTATATTTTTTTAGGCAAACCGATTACAGACTCCGAATACGAGCAAAAAGCTGTCTAGAAAATCATATAAAATCTTTTCCTTTTTTGCACGAGTCACAAAATTTCACCGTCAACGCTAATCGAATGGAATCCATGTTAGGTTAGTTATCTTTATCAATATAAATGATGTTGATTGAGGGCTTGATGCACTATACCTGGTATTTCGTTAATTGATCCTTGTATGACACGCAGCAGAGGCCTCCTGGGGAAGTGGTTGGCGTCGGGACAACACTCGCAGGGAGACCTGCAGAGCTGGCAGAAGATTTCTTTGCGTTTGCTAAATCGGCTTCGGCCTTCAATAATTTCTCTTTGAGATTATCGATTTCTTTACGCGCCTCATTTATAAGCTTGTCCTTAGCCTCGATTTGTTCCTTAAGTTGCTTCGAAAGATAGTCTTGCATACCGCCCATTTTATTCTTCATCTCTTGGAACTCCAGAATCACCTGCATGGAATGATAAAAAAAAATAATAAGAAATAATCATAATCTGTGAATAATAAGAAATGTATCATAATGGCCATATATATCCAGAGATCACTGGAAGCGGAGCAAACGAAAAAATGCCTCTTCACTGCAGGCAACTTTCCTATAAATACTCATTTTATGCATTAGGTCGATATATGCGTATGCTACCAACAGATTTTGTAGGGTCTAATGGTCAGTGATGGTGTTAAAGGCCGTTACAAAGGCCTCTCTATGCCTTACAAGCCTGTTGTCAAGCTAATATTGTATCGACTGTATTATAATAATAATAATTCTATTCTGACTTGCAAGTCCTGAAAGGGGGCATATTGTGCATGTTCGAAAGCCACGGAAATTACTCAAAATGCTTGTTCTGCGTAGGGAGTTAAAAGATAAAAACTTACCTAAACTCTTTTAAAGCCATCTTCATTGAATGCAAAAAGCGGACGAATTCTTCAGATCGAAGATGCTATATTCAATTTTAGACTACTCTCAATTATAGGGTTTTCGTCGTAAACGCAACACTTGTTCCGAATTATTTCGAAAGCACTTAGACCTTGATAAAGGGTAAATCGAAACTCTCCAAAAAACTGTATTTCGCCACCCGACATACTTTTGTTCCAAAGTCAAGTATATTCGAACACAACTAACGAACACAAACGGTACACAAAACCAAATGGCAAAGAGGCGTAATAAGCAAAACACATTCGGCAAATACAAGCAGACTAGCTAACGATCGCCTCTTTTTGAATATAACTTACAGATATTTATAAAAATAACTTTGTTCGAATTTTAAGGTTCTAAGTAACAAGCATAAAAGTCAATGACGGTATTTAATGCTAAATATCTCATAAGTACTGCACGCAAAACGAGTCGGTTCTCTCATAATAATAACATAATGGAAAATCTTGTTCAGTATATACAACTTGGCTGTATACAAACCCTTATTAACTATCTTGCTGTTCTCTAGCACTTGCCACTGTATAAAACCCTTTCCGGCCCGGTAAACGCAAATGGTCTTTTTAATGCGGAAGTTTGGCTTGACTGGGAATTTGGCGTACTTCCAGAGCTACCCGTTCCTTTCTTTGTTTATGATTACTTTGAGATACAGTTTCTCATAATTAACCTTGTAATAATTCCGTGTAGAGACTTGCTGTTGCGATTGTGCTTTGTTCGATACCGGGGGAGACGTTAAGAGTCAATTGCAGGCCATATCTCCTTCTGCGATTCACCCAGTTCATTGTAAACATATTGATAAAATTCCACACCCCTAGGATGGTTGATATCAGTCTGGTGTTCGCAGTATATCTTCTCGTGCAATCAACAAATTCTTTGCGGTCTCAGCTTCTCATAGACCAAGAGCGGCCGATAAATATACTGCACATCCATTAGGTCTACGATCCTTTAGAACTTAGCATACCATGTTAAGCACCCTTTTCAACTAAAGAGTTCTCATTGTACACTGCACAAATAGCCCAGACCACTTTGTCCTTGGCGAAAGAAAAAATAAACATTGATTTTTTTTTCATGTAGCTTTATTAGCTAAATAATGTACATATTTTCGCTAACCATACAATGAAATTTCAGTCGAATTATAGAAAAGAGCGAGAAAGCGACGACTTTCGAATGACAATAGACAAGTGACAGAGAGCTAGAAAAGAAAGAAAACAACACGTTCGCAAGTAATAATAAGAAATTAAACACAAATTCAATTAGTTATTTGTAATGATTTTTGGTTCCTCTTACCTCAGTTTGCCGAAGTGAGCTGGCTTCCCGAATATCGCTCTGAGCACTTAAGTTTCTGTAGTTTTCTCGTTGAATTTTCAAGTCGGCTAATGCTTCGAAAAGTTGAGATTCTTTTTGCTGAAGACGCTGAGATCTTTCAGATAATTCTTCCTCAAGTTGTCTCACATTTCGTTCATAACTAGCGATATTAGAGGCCAGGGATACGTTCCGGTCTCGTAGGGATTGAACTTCAACCTAAACGTATACATTAAAGGCATAGAGTAAAAAGACTAGAAGGTTTAGAAATGTTTCAGTGATTACGCTTCACTAACTTTTAAGCTCTATAGAGTCCACCTATTGGGTAACCTTCATATTTTGTAATTGGCTCATTGTACGTTGTGATGTCCACCAAGTTTATTGAACCAGGAAATTTGATAATCGAGAGACTCGACAATCGATATTATCAACATTATACACGATTTCTGGAAAGTGGACAACGCGGCAACAGTAGCTTCTAGTTTTCATATTGCTATAGTTGAACAAATAGTTCGGTATTGGTATTCTTACGTTAGCAAAGTCTTCAATCGAATTGTTGCAAGCTTTGCTTTAAATACAATACAAATCAGATTAATACAGTAGGTACTTCCAGTGAGAGCGAGTTCTAGCTCCAAATAGATATGACTTAAACAACTAACCTGCGCAGTTTTGAGTTGACCTTCCAACTGACGACCTCTCAAAATTTCGCTTTCCAATTTTGCTTTAGAACCTGCCAACTCAATTTTTACTGCACAGTTGCTAGACTGAAGCGCTTCAATCTTACTCTCAAGGCTTGTGGTCCTTGCCGTGCTGTGAGTAGAACGTCATCAGAATTTGCAAACCGTTAAATTTACGCCACTCAATAAGGATCATTGTTCTGAACCTAATTTAATGTAGCTCTTGTTCCATTTCATATTACGTATTTAATCTTCTGCTTATTAAGAAAAGCGCTGTTTAGGAGAGCGAACTGTATCATTTACGTGGCGATAATTAAAAAAAAAACTATACATTTTTCATATATAGCTTCCCCAGAAACTCGGATAAAAATATTTAAGTTACTATTGTTCTTTGCAGTATTTTTTTGCAAAAATATGATAACATTCTATATTATGGATGACAGAGTGAACAGGGAAAATCCTAGAACCTTTCGCTGCGGATTCTTTCAACTTCTTTAGCAAGCCTCTCAGTTTCGAGTCTTGCTTGACGCTTTTCTCTCTCATAACTTGAAGCATCCTCAAGTTCTTCCGGAGTTGCCCCCCCAGCGCCGCTCGATTGTTGTTTTTTTCCAGATCCAGTTGATCCGCTTCTGGCAAGCAAATTTTGAGTGCTACCAGTTTTTAGAGCCGAAACAATTTCAGCTTGACAGTCCTTCTCTGCCATTAGCTGCTCCACTTCGCGCTTAAGGTCCGAAACAAGAGCTTCTAGTTCAAGCGATCGTTTTTCTAAAAAAAAAAAGTACTTATATATATAGAAAATTTGGCATCCAAGCTGCGATAATTGGGAAAGCTATAAAAAAAAAAGCGAGACAGATGCGGTAGTACAGCAAATACCGTCTTTCCAATGGTGCATTAAGAACACGTTTACTTCTTAAACTTACAAACACAAATAATTTAAACTCAGAATCGGGCATAGGCACCCTCATGTTATGCTTAGAATCAACTATCTGGGGTAATACTTAAGGGCAGTCTAAGTTTGTCGCATCCGAAATGTTGATATACACGATACTCATATGAAAATAAGACATATTTCCTAAGAATATGCATTGAATCTGTATGATGAAACCGCGAGGTTTGGATTACCTACATAGTAATCCAAAATAAACTAAATAATCTTAACAATGAAACAGTTCTAATTTTCAAACCTACCATCAGTTTCCCTTTCCTCAATGATGCTCTCGAGTTCCCTAACAGCTCGAAGCAGCTGTGAATTTTTCTCTTGCAGTTCGGTGATTGATGTAAATGTTACCAGACGCCCTGATACCACATCAGCAACCGTCGCCTCTAGGCCCTCTGAACAGCGGATGTCTCGTACTGAAGTATCCCGGCGATTTTCAATCTGCGCCAAGAGAACTTGTACCTACGAAAGTGGCAGCACAGTACAACACGGTCAGGAGTGGGGAACTACTAGAGACGTTAGCCATATTTAAGAGCTTTTATAAAAAGTGATCCACATTACTCATTGTAAATTCTGGCAACTAGAAGAGGCGCTTTTTTTGTACACTTATTCTGTACTATTACTAGATTGTTACACACAATCGTTTTTTATATTTCATATGTGTATTGTGTTGTAAAAAAAATAATTATATGATGCTACTTCCGAAATTATCTTAAATCAGGTAAATACAGGTATGTCCCATTTTTCCTCTAAAAACTCGCCTGTCGAGATAAATCTCCATTATGCTTTTCAAGTCTTTGGGCAGAAAATCTTAACTTGGTTGACTCTCGCACTGCAGTGTCGCGCTCCTCCATAAGGCGGTCTCGCTCATCGTTAAGTACGCCTAGTTGGCGTTCTAGTTTGTCCCGATCTGCCATCATCCGCTTATAAACCGTGTCGTGATGCACAATATTTTCTGTAACCGCTTCCATCTTTCGCAAAAACCAAATACCATTATCAGATTACGCCATAACCGCTAAAAGAGCTCAATTAAAATTACTAACGCAGCAACTAAAAACTGACAGATCCACAGTTCCTACACACATAATTATTAGTTGTAGTATGGAGCTTTAGACAATAGTATTACGTATTATAGCCTGAATTCTTTACTACAGATATTCCATACAAGTTTTCTAATCCACTTGACACGTTTTTTTGATCCACATACTCGCTTTTTTTCTGCGCTTAACAGAAACCCGCGACTGATGATGTAAATGCAAATCACTCTCTTACTTCTTTTGTAAGCTGCCGCACAGTGTGATTCAACATTTGGTTGTCTTTTTGAAGAGCGGCAATTCGGCTGTCAACGGCATTCCTTTCTTGCAGTGCGACGAGCGGATGGCGAGCTTCTTCCTGGCACGCGCCGCCACTGCTGTCAAAGCCACCGGCTCCTGTCGGTGTCGTAACAAGCTCACGTGTTTCGGCCAATTGAGTCTTCAAAGATTCGATTTCGACCTCCTATGAAATGATGCGAGTATAGAGGTAATAACAAAAGGTTACACAAAATAAACGCTAACGTAGCTTTCAGCAGTTACAATATTACGAACTGATTATTACTTGTTGATAGCTTCAAACAGTACATGCTATTTCAGAACCAAGTCGTATGGTAATTATCAATCCGATTTATTTTTTGGGTATTTTTTGAGCAACAATATAAAGTTATTCTTCGACTTGTGAAACACATGTACACATTGGGCGTAAGCTAAAAACAAAATTGGAAACATTGCGTTTCAAGCGTTATCCAAAAATATTAGTACGTTGCAGAGGAAAAACTGAAGATACATTATATCTTTAGTTTTTCCTGTGAGTAGCGCAAATTGTATAATAGCGTATAGTCTATTAACTCATCTGCATGATTTTTTACCCTTTGCTTGAGGTCAGCCTGCAATCCAGCTAGTTTAATCTGAATTTCTTCGTTTTGCTGAGCAAAGTCTGAATTCTCCTTCTGAATGTCAATAGCGGTATCGAGTAGCTGGTTTATTTTCGATTTATATTTCTCTTCACCTAAACGGAAAGCATATCAAGTCCACACACAAAAGTAGGTTATATACTTGTAGATAAGTCAAACCTACGATAAACAGTTACAGAGTAACCATCTAAACGTGAATTGCGTCGTTGAAAAAAAATTTAAAGGCTACACAAAAAACTTTGTTTGACATACCGATCTTGTAAGCCTCGGTTAGTCTCTTTTCAGCACTGAGTTCAGCTTCCCATTGCGTTTCCATTGTCACAAAGTTGGCTTCTGCTCGCTCTTTCTCTGTTATCGCCGACTGGAGATTCGTACGCACCAATGACAGTTCTGTTTTAGTGCGTTCCAGTTCTGCATTTACAGCATCTAGCCTGAAATATTATAGTAATATTAATCTGGGGCTTAACTATTTTCGGATGTTTAGCTTCAGATAATAATACCAAGTACACGGATTTTTTATTAATTTAGAAAAGTTCAACAACAGGATTTCCGGTACACTAATCTTGGCGAATGGATAATCATAGAACACTCAAGCTTTTATTTAAGCCGGTTTTATCTGACCTAGGTTATGAGCAGCGGCGATTATAAGGTACTCACCTTCCATTAAGCTCCTCTTTCTCCCCTTGAAGGGTAGCGATCTCCCTTGCAGAATTGTTACGCGCTTTTAATGCGGAAGAATTCGCAGCGTCCAAATCTTCATTTAAAGCATATACTCGTTTCTCGAGAGCTTGTTGCCCTTGTTCTAGACTAGTGTTTTTGTGTTTAAATGAAGCGATGGTAGTCTCATATTCTTGCGTTCTGAAACATACGTAGCATTAACCGAAAACGCTGAACTTTTTTTGTTTTGGAAGCCTTTTCTGCCAAAGCTGTTCTGGAAGCCGGAAGTTTTCTGGCACAGTGTGAAAGAATAACGTATTACCGCGGAACGATTTTACTGCGGGTTGCACAAGATCGTATCTTTAGGCATTTTGGTTTGCATCTAAAGATAAGCAATACTCAGTTTTTTCTATTGTTGTTACTTGATCCCGTTCCTAATGTAACACTCGATATCGAGAATTCTTCTAACAAAATCGATTTGTCACACTGCAATTCTACCTAACAACCCCAGCTTGATAACGATAAAAAAATTAAACATGGTCATTATCACTAAAGCTGACTAAATACACTAAAGTCTACTACCCTTTCTTACCTGATAATAGCATCCTTCAATTTTCCTTTGGAGTCTTCAGCGTCTTGAGTTACCTTTTGAAGCTCTTCTTCCATAGTTTTGATCTGTTGGTCGAGTTTCTCTTTGATTGACCTAAGTGATTTTAGTTCCTCAAGACTCAAAGAATGTTCCGATTCCATCTGGTTTAGTACGCCGCATAATAATGGTCACCGATACGACGTTACATGATTATTACAAGCCAAACCAACATTGAAATCATAAGAATATTTTTTTTAACAAACCTGCTTGGGGATCAGTCATTTACATATAGGTAAGTACCACCTAATGTAAGTGAATTGAAAAATCGTATGACTTTTACGATCAGTATTGTATCAGTATAGTAAGAACGCAAGACCTACCTTGACCGTTTGGGTTTGAAGACTATGAAGCTGTTGTCGTGCTGACGTAAGCTCATTCTCAGATTGCGTAAAACGCGTTTGAAGAGTTTCGAGCTGCAACTCGGCAGCTGCACGGGCCGCGGTTGCTTCTTCTAGTTCTTGTTCCGACTGAAACTTCAATCGACTCTAACAAATGGACATTCCAACGTGTTTCATTAGTGCCAATACAATGGTCGAAAAGCCGTCAAATTGCCACCAGATACACAGATAAACAAATAATTACTGAAGGGAGTAGCCAAAAAATAACTAGGTAATAAATAGACATGTGAACGCATGGCACACGTTTTAGCTTATTTGTTTTCAATCAATTGATGATAATCCGACAGAATGAAAGACAAAAAAACGTGAGTCATTTGTGGATGCCAAAGGAGTAAACGAATGCAGAGGTGAACAAACCTTGTAGCATTTATATGAGATAGAATTCCTTGTAATTCGACTCTACGAGACTATACAATAGATACATTTTTTTTTTTATAACTTTCGAAGTCGAAAAATATTTAAGATTCTGTACGGCCTTGCCTACGAACGGCGTGCTTATTTTGTTAACTGTCCGCAATTTGCCAACAGGATCATGCATGGATTATATGAAATAACACGAGCATCATTTTGATCCTATAATAACGAAGCCAGAAGACGTATATTTTAAAATGGGTACTTGGCCGCAAGCTGTCAGGTTAGAGGGTCATATTTGTGAAAGAAACATAACTAAAAAAATATTGACACTGACATACTGCCAACTTTTATCTGTAGCACGTTCTTACGAAGGCGACAGATGATGACAACACTGACTAGAAAGTGACGATGTGTTCAAGAACCGGCTATTTATAGACACAAACGGACAATACTATGAAAATATTGGGAGCCAATTAGTTCCACTTGACAATATAAATTTTACTTTCGGAAGTTACAGTCTTTAAAAACAAATAAATGTTCAAGTAAGTAACTTTCCAGAAAAATGCTCTTATTAATTTCCAGAAGAAAAATACGTGTTTTGTTTTTCAAAATGCCGTTGTTGTTAGAAGTTGAAGTTACCGTGCTTCATTTCCGCTCAGATTCTGTGTAAATAGTGTGACATAGATGTGCATGGCCACAAATAACAGTAAAATTTAGAAGTAAATGATTTAAGGTATTTCTTAGCTTACACTGATCATTTATATGAGTTGACAGTTTAATTGTCCATGTGACAGAAGATTACACTAAAAGAAGGCACTAATTTAATACCATTTGCCTATAAAAAAAACTGAGTGCATTCAGTATCAGATTATTCTTTGGTAAACCTCAACAGCTGTGTAGAAGAACAAAAAACGATATTTAGCTATTCAGTTCACTTATTAAATAAAACTTCACCCATGTTGTCGATTCGTCACTTCGCACTTGAAAGTAAATCTTGGTAGAGCCGCGCCAGATAAAAAGTGATTGATTTTAGAGCTTGAAGTCATCATGTTCTAGATAATCCGATATACTCACGTTTCGATTTTAGAAGATCCTGTGCCACTTAAAGCCAAGTTTTACCAAGAAAAAAAAACCCGTAAACATTTTTTCATGGGCTTGAGTCAAACATCACGCAAAAGCTTTACCTGGATGGCTTCTTTTTCAAGAACATGCTGTTTCCATGCCTCCTCAAGTTGAGGTCGCAAACCAACAGGCACTTGTCCCCACAGGTCGTTTCCAAAGAGGTTTTCCATTGCGCCGCCTTTCTGGACAATTTTTTGCTTGGATTAATGTTCAAAAATCTGTAACAAATGCGTCCACACACTGGAAGGTAACGAATACCTGAATACAGTTCATTCACTTTTAAGGTCCGGCACTACGCAGATCTAAAGCTGCCTGCGCAAACAACGGCCCTCTGCGTCGTTTAATCAAAGCTGTTACCGGCAGGATACCCATAACGAAGCTTGTGTATTTGAAAATAAACAAAGCAGCAGACGACAGTTTTGGCGGCCAGGGTTGAATGACGATTTGAATGACACTTGCCGCTATCTCAGAGAATGTCTTCGCTATATGATAATTTTAGGCACGTTGTGAGATATGAAATAGGTGGGTTAGGTTTATGGATTTTCGAATAAAACGCTTCTGTAAAAAATAAACAATGAGTGTAATTAACTCTGCAGACCGAAACGGAGATGTGATAACTTGGTATAACTGGACAAAAAGAAGCTGGATGGGCAGGTCCAGAAATTAAAGGTTTTGTAGCACAAGCTGTACTGGTTTGTTCCCCTGATAGCGCATTAGATGACGCGCTCGCCTATAAGGCTTGAGCATATGTGCTAGGAACCAGCCATCCGAAAGCTTATGCAGCGAACGTAAAATGCAATAAACAAAACTGTATTCGTTTGTTCTCAAAGTAAAAATTGTTTAACAATAAAACAAACAACTAAAAAAAGTTAGTGCTGATGAAAAAAATATGAAGACAAAGGCGCTTTATCGAAAATATGCATTCTGTGTAATTATAAAGAATCGATTATCGCATGAAAATAAGCGTGTTTCAAGTCCATTTTATACTTCTATCTAGTATTCAAACTGAGTGTGTGACCACGGCTGGGGTACTAATATTGACTATTTCTTATTCCTTACAGATAATATAGAAAGAAGTCTACTAAACCTGTATTTCTTATAGTCTCCATTAATGTGGTCCCAGCAAATCTTAACAGGTTAGAGGTGAAGCCCAAATAAGTTATATATATATATATATATAATATCACAGGCAGTGTGAAAGCATGAGACAACGGTACGTAATCTTTAACTCAGCAACGTTCATTCATAACGATGACCAGATAAGGTATCTTTATGTGAATCAAGGTAGAAAACGCACATAAAGTACATCTCCAAATGATTTCTTCTTCTTTCAGGGATAATATGATTATAAAAAATGATGATAGGTATCTTTTGGTTGAAACATATCTAGGAGACGTGTTTTCGAAATGCATTATATCACACAATAGACGAACAAAGAATACACAGAATATTACTACAATTGGAGCCTGTAAAGCCCGATTTAAATAGTATGCTCGTTGTCAGCCTCCAGCAACAAACCTCTCTATGTAGTCACAACATAATATGGGGGATCGGTAAAATATAGCAGATTTCTAGCCGAATACACTGTATATCGAAAACTTCAATTAGATCTTATACGCCTTTAATATGTTACTGCGTTTATGACCTTTAGCCTCCTCAGTGGTGACGTGTCTATAAGCTTTTGTGCATAAGGTAACAAAGGACATAATCAGTTTACTTAAAATAATTATGTTGGTAACAAGTCTCTAGATGCCAGATATTTTGATTGATATTTTACTCAGAACTAATATTCAACCCTGCTCTGAGAAGTGAAATATTTTTCTACAAAAATAAATAAATCAGTCGAAAAGGATGGTTAATATTTCTGATATTATGCTATAAATATCATATATGATAATTAATATGAAACAATTTCAAACTCTCGCCTTTCTTGATAGAAAGATTGGTCAAATCCCAGCATGATTACTCAAGTTGCACTTCAGACTGTAGCATTGGAATAAGTAAGTTATTATCCGAATGGTATAATAGAAAGTAATGGTGCATATTTTACTTTACAAAAAAATTGCATATCTCCGTTTTATGCGTCCTGATACTGCTAGACCAAATAAACGTTTGGACATTGGTTTAAGCTTAAAATATTTGCCATACGTTCATCGAGCGAACGAACCTTTGAGCTTTTTACAACAGGCTTTGTTTAAAAAAGCTGAGAGCAACTACAGTAATGTATAATAATAACAAGTGTAAACGTGAAGTCTGGCAGAAAAGGAGTTATTTCGGTCAAAATTCCTAAATATAATATACTAGATTTAGCAAAATCGATCAAAGCACGTTAGAAAACATTATTGAAAATTCAGTACTTACCATTATGCCCCCTATATGCTGCATAATGCTGCTACCAGATTGATAAAAATATAACTTCACTCTTATGATAGATAGAGAAATGTATGCTGAACATTAACTCGATGCTCAAGCGTTGTGTCTTATTTAAAAAAAAAGTTTTTTTTTTAAATACTACTCTTTTAACATTCTAATACCGTTTGAATAATGCCTAAAGTTTTATCTAGGAAGTAGTATCTGGGCAACATTGGCGCAAGTTGCGACACTTTGCAAGCTAAGTAGTATCTGGGCAACATTGGCGCAAGTTGCGACACTTTGCGAGCTATCTTAGATACAATGGTGTTTACGCACGAGCAAAAAGCATTTTCACTCCCTGAAAGGAACAACGAAGACAAAATTTTGAACATCTAATGTCTTCGAAACTGTACACGACAGCTACTTGGTATTTGTTTGTATCTTCATAGGTGGTAATTTCATATTCCCGTATTATAGCGTTTATTATAAAGTGAAATATATGGCACTGCTATGTATATGCATCGCTTTAATTAATTTATATAATAGAACGTATGCTCAATTTACTAGCTACCTAGGAAGCACTTTTACATAGCTTTATTAAGCATCCTCTTCTTACAATTCAGTAGGCAGATACGCAAAGAGCTTTCCAGCCTGGGAAAGTGCCTAAATGTCGCCTGTTTTAATGTTACCCCAACTCCAACTTAGATCAAATTTGTCTACAACTTATTCCAGTGAACTTGATTGTAGAGACAACGCAAATAACTTACCAAGAGAATTAGTAAAACAAATACAGAGATAACTTTCTGATTTTACATTTAATTATTATACCCAGACAATTTTAATCGAATTCAGGTATTTAGTTGTTCTCAACGCTAAAAGGTATTTTTTATTGCAACTGATGTAATTTATATTCTAGAATTTCAAAATTATCAGGATTATTATTATTATTATTGTTATTGTTATTAATTTTTTAATAATAACACTATAGATGTTTCTAGTATTATTATCCTTGGTAAAACATGCCTCTTTGTGGAAAATTGGAAAATTCCTAAAACGCTAGCGAAAATTTGTTTGAAGTCTGCCCAATTTTCACAAAAGGTAACTAGAACATCTTTTTAAGTTTCTTAAGAAATATTATATATTAGATACATTTTCTAATTACCTTACGAAAAGCTTCATTTCACAGATATCTACAACTACAAAAGTATGCAACTTAGCTACAAATGACAAACGATTTTGTATACTTTTTAAAAAAATTATAATTTCATGTTTATACAAAATATAATTAGTGCTTATCTGGCGTACCTACGGCTCACCTGCGCAGTCTTTATCAGACATATCCAGGCAGAGTGATAAAGCAGCAGTTATATATTTGCCCACTAAACTCAGTGACACGCGACGTAATCAAGATTTATAATCTGGTGTAAATACATATCGTTCCGTGCTGCAGTGCTCAAAAACAATATTGGACGTAAAACTCGATAGATAAATCAATTAGTTACCGACGACATTCCCAGGATGGAGACCAATATTCGCATCTCTTCCCTAATCGGAAACTATTTCACTTTTACCATGTAATATTCCTTCCAATCTAATCAAGATTTTTTGATTAGTGGATTAATAGATATAGGGAAAAGTCATTATTTTAACATGTTACAAATATATAAATACGGCATCGCCAACAATGACACAAATGCTATACAATTTCTTCACACAAAGTTCATCTGATATGCTATGTCCTGTACGATGAAACCCATAGACGCAAACGTCTTTGAGACATGACGTCTTGTACAGTTCATAGCCTTACATGTAACCCGCTAACATGTATAGCCTTTCGAAATTCGTCGTCGACATCCGTTAATATCCGACGGCTAGCTACGCTCAGAATGCATGATATTCTTATGAGAATTAGAAAAACAACTATAATGTCTTTGATTATGGTTGGACTGAATACTTCTTAAAACATCAATAGTTTGGTAAAGAATAAGCGATGCGTTTTCAATGTTCCGGTCACACTATGGATATTAAAAAAAAAAAAAGAGCGCCTAATAACTTCGAAAAGAAATTCCGATTTTTCGAATCTTTACTTACTAGAGGTCACTATCAGCAATGACGCATGGAAGCAGTAGCTACCTGCTCTACCTGCTAGTAATTGTCCGCTGAACAGGCGGTTAAGCAATCAAGTCCTTAAAATCCTATGGTGAAAGATGCATCTGGCTTAGAGATTGCCGCCGCTTGCAAAGTACTTTCGAAAGAAGGGGATGATGGATCTCATTGTTTAATGGCACACGCACCTACGTGAGGATAACTTCTTAATAAAAAAAAAAAAGAACCTGTATTTTCCAATTAGTTGATATGGTGACTTGGTTTTGTGCGCTTGTTACTGCACTTAGATATTTACTATTCGAAATTATTCTCTTCTTCACGGTTTTGCGTGTTTAATGGTGATTACGACGTTGTTATTAACAGCCTTGTTCTGTCGACGCAAATCTGCCCTAATGGCACTAGATCGTCTTGTTATAGCATATTGCAATTTAGCTTTTCTACTAACATTAACTTAATTAGTTGTTACGTCACAGCACTCAATGTTTATGTGACCATTTCTAAAAACTGTCGTTAACATCCAAGTATAATCAATTGAGTCAGTTTCAATGCAGCATTCTAACCAACATAGGTTTAGTTAAAATCATGGTTCTTATTTTTTAAAAGTAAGTACGTCTGAACTGATACGAACATACACAAATTTTGAGGTCGAACTCTACCATCCCGATTGTTAGTGATGCCCAGTATCTTAACGATCATCTCTTGTGTTTATTAACTAACAAATGAGTTGCCATCGCGGGAGTATCCGTCATACCCACACAATCCGTCATCTTCAATAACGTCGCCTGGCTAAAAGATTTGCTAGATTTGAAGCTGTATCATCATACAGTCTACATAGATTAATTAGTTTACTGGCCGAGG